ACACTGAACCTTTCTGTCCCAAACCTGTTGTGACGTTACATTGAACATTCCTGTCCCAAACCTGTTGTGACGTTACATTGAACATTCCTGTCCCAAACCTGTTGTACACAAGATATTTTGTTACATTGAACCTTCCATTCCCAAACCTTTTTTTACGTTCCACTGAACCTTTCTGTCCCAAACCTGTTGTGAGGTTACATTGAACCTTCCTGTCCCAACCCTGTTGTGACGTTACATTGAACCTTCCTGTCCCACGCCTGCTGTTACGTTATACTGAACATTCGTGTCCCAAACCTGTTGTTACGTTACATTGAACCTTCCTGTCACAAACCTGTTGTTACGTTACATTGAACCTTCCTGTCCCACACCTGTTGTTACGTTACACTGAACCTTTCATTTAACATTTCTTCCCTGTTACTGGTGTAACGTTAAACTAAATCTACCTTTCACACACAGTTCTGCACTATATTGACCCATCTTGTCCTGCTACTTTTTATTACACAGTTTTTCCCCACAGCAGTTTGTTATGTTTTAATAATACTCCCTTCCTTTCATTACTTGTAATTCTACATAGAACCCTCCTCATGCTAGTTTGTTACGTTTTATAAATCATTTACTTCCCACACAAGTTTGTAACGTATACTTAAGTAACGCTTACTTTCCTACACATGCTATTTTTACTTTTCTAGTTTATCACGGTGTTATAATTAAACCTTTCCATTCCCATACTAGTTTGTGTTTTACAATGATTTGTACATGTGGTATGCCCTTTAGAATACGCGATTGCAGTGATTTTTTATTTTAAGTGACAATGAACCTTCCTGTCCTAAACATGTTGTTACGTTACATTGAACCTTCCTGTCCCAAACCTGTTGTAACGTTACACTGAACCTTTCTGTCCCAAACCTGTTGTGACGTTACATTGAACCTTCCTGTCCCAAACCTGTTGTTACATTATATTGAACCTTCCATTCCCTAACCTATTGTAACGTTACATTGAACCTTCCTGTTCCACACCTGTTGTTACGTTACATTGAACCTTCCTGTCCCAAACATGTTGTGACGTTACATTGAACCCTACTGTCCCAAACCTGTTGTTACGTTACACTGAACCTTTCATTTTCACACATGTTGCTTCGCTTCATTTAACATTTCTTCCCTATTACTGGTGTAACGTTAAACTAAATCTACCTTTCACACACAGTTCTGCGCTATATTGACCCATCTTGTCCTGCTACTTTTTATTACACAGTTTTTCCCCACAGCAGTTTGTTATGTTTTAATAATACTTCCTTCCTTTCATTACTTGTAATTCTACATAGAAGCCTCCTCATGCTAGTTTGTTACGTTTTATAAATCATTTACTTCCCACACAAGTTTGAAACGTATACTTAAGTAACGCTCACTTTCCTACACATGCTATTTTTACTTTTCTAGTTTATCACTGTGTTATAATTAAACCTTTCCATTCCCATACTAGTTTGTGTTTTACAATGATTTGTAGATGTGGTATGCCCTTTAGAATACGCGATTGCAGTGATTTTATTTTAAGTGACAATGAACCTTCCTGTCCTAAACATGTTGTTACGTTACATTTAACCTTTCTGTCCCAAACAAGTTGTAACGTTACATTGAACCTTCCTGTCCCAAACCTGTTGTTACGCTTAATTGAACCTTCCTGTCCCAAACATGTTTTACGTTACACTGAACCTTCCTGTCCCAAACCTGTTGTTACGTTACATTGAACCTTCCTGTCCCAAACCTGTTGTGACGTTACATTGAACCTTCCTGTCCCAAACCTGTTGTGACGTTACATTCAACCTTCCTGTCCCACACCTGTTGTGACGATACAATGAACCTTTCTGTCCCAAACCTGTTGTGACGTTACATTGAACCTTCCTGCCCCAAACCTGTTGTGACGTTACATTGAACCTTCCTGTCCCACACCTGTTGTTACGTTACATTTAACCTTCCTGACCCAAACCTGTTGTTACATTATATTGAACCTTCCTGTCCCAAACCTGTTGTTACGTTACACTGAACATTCCTGTCCCAAACCTGTTGTTACGTTATATTGAACCTTCCTGTCCCAAACCTGTTGTGACATTACACTGAACATTCCTGTCCCAAACCTGTTGTTACGTTACACTGAACATTCCTGTCCCAAACCTGTTGTTATGTTACATTGAACCTTCCTGTTCCACACCTGTTGTTACATTATATTGAACCTTCCATTCCCTAACCTATTGTAACGTTACATTGAACCTTCCTGTTCCACACCTGTTGTTACGTTACATTGAATCTTCCTGTCCCAAACCTGGTGTTACGTTACATTGAACCTTCCTGTCCCAAACATGTTGTGACGTTACATTGAACCCTACTGTCCCACACCTGTTGTTACGTTACAATGAACCTTCCTGTCCCAAACATGTTGTGACGTTACATTCAACCTTCCTGTCCCAAACCTGTTGTTACGTTACATTGAACCTTCCTGTCACAAACCTGTTGTTACGTTACACTGAACCTTTCATTTTCATATTGCTATGTTGTAACGTTAAACTAAATCTACCTTTCACACACAGTTCTGCGCTATATTGACCCATCTTGTCCTGCTACTTTTTATTACACAGTTTTTCCCCACAGCAGTTTGTTATGTTTTAATAATACTTCCTTCCTTTCATTACTTGTAATTCTACATAGAACCCTCCTCATGCTAGTTTGTTACGCCTTATAAATCCTTTACTTCCCACACAAGTTTGTAACGTATACTTAAGTAACGCTCACTTTCCTACACATGCTATTTTTACTTTTCTAGTTTATCACTGTGTTATAATTAAACCTCTCCATTCCCATACTAGTTTGTGTTTTACAATGATTTGTACATGTGGTATGCCCTTTAGAATACGCGATTGCAGTGATTTTATTTTAAGTGTGCATGACACTCATAACATTTTATTGTTTGATATGGTCACATTTGTCTCAAAAACAGTATGATGCCAGGCACCTGTTGAGTTACATCAAATATAGAGTATCTCCTATACCGGACACCTGCTTTTAACAACATGGTCGGCTTAGAACTATTCTTTGATCGTCCTTAGTTATTTAGTTTTTTGTTTATCATCATCTGTTGAAAACGTTTTTAGCATGATGTCATGGGTTATTTGTAATGGTGGTAATTTCCCCAATCCCATGTTAACCCTTTAAGTATGTGAAGTATGCATGTTGCTATCGTGATATCTACGTGCTCGGGCAGAAGTCTCCGTATCATTATGAAACTAGTAAAACCTCTTTGGTATTAAGGAAATGCTATACTTACGCCTGAAGCCTAGGTAATGCACATGTGAAAGTGACTGTGTAGTGTACGACTCTATAACGAGGAACGGGTGTGTACGATTAGAGCATATGTATAATGTTGAAAGTGATACAACTGTCCCACTCCTTTACAACAGGAAACAAACCATGTAATGTGTGTTTAAATAAAGACTTTTATTACAGCAGCGTTCAGTATTTACGAACATAAAAACCCAGGACGATATTGCCTGGTAGAAATATTTTATGTTGTCAGCTTTATGCTAATGAAGGTATTAAAAGGAGTTAATTCTTATACAAACGGTATCAATAAAACATTTTTAGGAAGAATGTTACGTTTCACGTAACTATTGCATAATACAACTGATAAATAAATGTATGTCCATGTAGTGTAGAACTATAAAATTCGTGCTTTTGAAGTAATTAAATTCAATAATCTTGTTAGCACGACACGCCAATGAGGCTGAAGGGAGGTAACACATAATGAACTGCTGTGATGTAGTAACCATATAAGATGCTGCTCTACCTCATCCATTGCTAATTTCAAATAACTGGAATTTTTGTTTTATTAAGCATTTCTTGTGACTTTTTCTTTATAATGAAGACAAAATATCAAATAAGCAATTAACAAATTATCGCCCTAAATCATCTGAAGTTCCATTGCGAATGTGTGTCATGGTATACTAGAATCATGGATTTCATTATCAAATATAACAAGCAGAAGTTCCACTCCATGTTTGGGACATAATAAAATCCTCTGACCTCTTGTAGTTAAGTAAATAGGGCCAAGTAATTGACCTTGCAGTTCAGAAGAGCCTAAGTGAGTTATGTAGCTAAGTAGTGGTGTATTGAGTGTAGTTTAGCAGGGCTCTGTAGTGAGGTTTAGTGAGCTAATTTAAGCAGGGTCCTGAGGTGTGGTATTGTTGTTAAGGGACGTTCTCTAGGTGGGCCCTGTTATTATGTGACGTTCTCTAGTTGGGTCATGTTGTTCTTGAAAAATTGGAAGATTTTATATTTAACGTTTGATTCTATTCACTTTTGTAAGCAAACTTCGTTTACTTCCGTATTTACCTATTATTTACCAATTTCCATGATTTTGGCTTTGTAATTGTTTATAGACAATTCTACCACGTCTGTGATGTAACGACGGTTTTCATTGGTTAAAAAGAGTGCACTATTGAGCGATATACCATGCGCGTGCCAATATCCAATGCACGTGAAATAGTGCGCACGCAAGCGGCCTTCGTTAATTATTTTTAACAACATTTTCTCACCCTCGTTATATATTCCACCATAATGCACGCACATATGTTGATTATTTCTAAATTATACAGATTGTTAAATCTTGTTTGAAACTATCAGAGATATCAAAGATGATAATTACACACAAACAGGTGACCGCATCTTTTCAAATTTGGTAATAAATACAGTATGTCAACAAGAAATCATACTGCTTCATACGGCTATGTTGTCCGTCTAAGAATCTGTGATGATTGGGGCCAAAAAGTTAGAAACCTACTGTTAACGCTTATATTTAAGTGAGGCTTTATCGACAAATAAAGAAAACTTGAGCATGAGTTTTACAAATCTCAAATGATATGGAAACGAAATTAAGATGATTTTGATCACTTTAGAATAATATCTATTGTCTTCAATGCATCGTCATCAAACCTATATCATTTCCATTCCAGGTGCTGGGGAGTCTGGGAAGAGTACAATTTTAAAACAAATGAAGTAAGTGTCCATTTAGTGTTCATGTAATGTACAATTTTACCACTCAAAGTGATTTGAGAAGTGAATTTAGATATTTTGCAGCCTGTGTGTATATTTCGTTTCCAACGTTCACGAAATGTTCATAAATGCGTCAGCATATTCCCGATCACTCGACTGCTTTTGGATATGATATGCGTATATATTGTTATGTGTTGACATAATACACATATTGTGACGTACAAACAGACAATAACCAATTTGTTAACAAGTTATAATAATCATTCCAAGGTTTAAAATGTTGCTTTTTCGTCGATAATGCCCAATGATTTAAGTTAATCACCGTTGTTTTAAGTGATCTAAGATTTTCTGATAAGAATCAACAACAACAACGTTACTACCAACAGCCAAAAGCCAAACTACACAACAAAACAATGTTGTCGAGAAAGCCTAATAGGTTATGGATGAAGTTAATCACCTTCGTTTAAGTGATCTACGTTAGNTTTTTTTTTTTTTTTTTTTGCTGATTGTGTTCTCATTTTCTTGGAATGCTATTACCATTACAGAATCATCCATGACCGAGGATATACGCCAGAGGAGTGTATGGAATACCGACCAGTGGTGTATAGCAACATTTACCAGTCCATGACCACCATCATCAGAGCTATGGGAAATCTGAAGATAGACTTTCAAGATCCTGAACACGCTGTCAGTATAATTACCTAGTCCGGTATTTAATACTGTGTTGTGATAATTATCGTCAGATATAGAAACAACATTCCTAGTTTCTACTGTAGCATTATAATCACTTGTGAAGTGAAACAGGACCTCCATTTCACCTGAGTAGCACCATCTTCATTGTTCTCTCCATGTTTGAAAAATAAACCATGGGAGTGGGCTGGGGGCATTAGTAGTGTGATATAGGCAGAATATAGAAATTAATGGGGGAATGTACACAATCCTCCCTTCTGGAAAGATAACATTTTATTGAATATTGCATCTTATACAAATTCAAAAGGAATTGGACAACAGGTGTAATGCGAATACAAGCCCTCTCCCTTGCGGAAATAATTGTTTTTAGTACACAGTCTTCTACATTCTTTTGAATGCAGAAAAGAAACAATTTGTTTTAATTACAAGACAGTTACCGTTTTATTTGTGTTATCTTTACGATAGTCATTGTTCTTAATGTTATTTGAATTGTATGCGCTGTATAAAGGTAAGTATTTTTTTAATTTCAGCGATAACTAATCAAAAAAACAAATCTTGATATTGTTATATCTGATTTATCCTTACTGAATGTTACCGTTATTATATATTGTTTTAACCAGGAGGATGCGCGCCATTTATTTGAGTATAACATGGATGGAGGCCTGAGTCCTGTAGCGGATATCCTACAACGGTTATGGGGTGACGGGGGAGTACAGACCTGTGTCAGTCGTTCCCGGGAATACCAACTCAACGATTCTGCAGAATAGTGAGTCACACCAGAACAGCTTGTTTACTACTTCAACGGAAGATACTCTGAATGGCATTTAGTTGGTTGTTATTTTTTTGTTTTTAAATTGATGTGTTGTAATTTATCATTGTATAAAATCGCCCAAGCGCGACTTGTAATATAACTACGAAGGTTTTTTCCGATTTCGCTAGTTTTAACATTTTGCACACCTTTATTTTGTATCACGAACCGTTTACAGTTAAAAACACTTGTAATTACATTGCATTGACATTCAGCCAACATGAGAAATTTGTTTTATAAAAATTTAGCAAATCTCATATCTCTTCTCGAAACGGTGAATATCTCAACAATTCTAATCTATCCTAAACAATGTTGGTCTGTATTAATAACCTTAGTCACTGGTTTTCAAGTTTACGTTTGTATTTAACCTTTTTATGCCATTCCCTTAAATATGTTTTATCTACTTTTATTGGCACTAATTTCATTTCCTTAGACATGTTTAATTTACTTTTATTGTCCCTTATAACCTGTGTTTGTTGGCTGAATCCAATATCAATGATGATAATTAATTGTCAAGCAATCTGCAACGGCTAAGGTGCAAAGTTCTGGAACCCCGCCTCATACAAAACTAAAAACTCGTCTTAAAAAACCAACAATCCACCCTCTACAATACTAAAATCTCATCACATACAAAAACGCAACCTCGTCTTATAAAAATCCCTCCACCTACTCAATATTATACCAAAACCTCATCACATATAATACCACAACCTCGTCATATAAAAAAGCACAAACCACTCAATACAGTACAAACACCCCTGCATGGAACTTGTGTGGGAACCCTCTGCAGAACTTGGGATTTGATTTTGTGCCCTTTACTTGGAGACACAAAAGCGACCAACACAAATCTGCTGCACCCATTACAATAGTTGTGATCTTTCTATTTCTCTTTACTTAAAACTACCTTTTATTTCCTTGTGCTTTGCTTGGCAATACCTCACTTTTGGCTTTAATTTTGAACGTTCGCCCAGGTGTGAAAGGCAAGGGACTCTGTCCCCGGGACGGAACACACAAAAGTTAGTAAAAATGGTAATTGTTATTCCCTGCTTAGTGTTAAGAAATTGGGGAAATGGCAACAATTGGTTCACTCGTTGTCAGTATAATGTGACCGGACGGAATGCTGCGATGGGTGTCTTGGTCTTAGTATTTCAGTGAGAGAGCACTATAAAGTCGGCATCAGATCCACGCTACCACAAGGAGGAAAATACAACAACATACCCTGCCTCCGGCACACATGCACACATGCATGCATACACAACATACATGGAGGCACGTCCTTAATTAACCTAACCTGTTATTAGGATGTTAAACAAACAAAAACCAAAACAAAACTGATCACATACAAAAATAAAACTATAATCACTAGAAACACGAAGAAAGGAAGCACTTTAAAAAGTTAGTTCAAAGATGCAGAAAGCCAAAGAATGAAATATCCGTGTCTTCAGTGTTCGGAAAAACTGTAGAATATATTATAAAGATAAATGTGCCTACGATAAAAGTCTGTACGGCGTCACACACGTACAGCTTCAGGCGACAACTGATCATTTATATTTAAGCTTCATGATATTTAGTATAAACTATGTCAGAATGAATTCGAGTTACACCATTTATGAAACACCACAACCTTATACTGTCTGTGTATTTATCATAAACACACAACATCACAGTAAGCCATCTGTATAACCGTATCAACATGTATACGTGTGTATAATTAAATGTGATGTCCATGTTTACTCACCAGTTACCTGAATGAATTGGAAAGGATATCCACGACCGGATATATACCGAGCACCCAGGACGTGTTACGAACACGAGTCAAAACAACAGGGATAGTCGAGTCCAGGTTCCTGTTTAAAAGCGCGCATTTTAAGTAAGCATTGTCAGCTTTACCAGCGCTATTTCCTCATTGTTCAAGCTTACCATCAATAGGATTTCTCATACAACAAAATGTGTATTTTAAGAAATATTACAGCATACTTTGTATCATTAAAGAATGTAACTGTCGAAATCATGTATTTGTTTATTGGAATGAAAGCCGACACTTCTTTTTATAACATTTTTACTACCATGTCAATGTTTTATTTATAAACATGCATGAAAATGCTTTATCGAAATTTACACGATATTACAATGTCCATACCTGTGTTAAATTTATGAAACGTGAAAAGCAAAGTGACAATAAATCACTAGTTCAAGATATCTTACTAAACAATATCAGAATTTAATACTATGTTTATAGAATGATCGACGTCGGAGGACAACGAACAGAGAGGAAGAAGTGGATCCATTGTTTTCAGGACGTGACGTCAATTCTGTTTATTGTTGCTATGAGTGAATATGATTTGACCTTAATTGAGGACGAAGACGTGGTAAGGCAACTAAACGGGAAAACTATTTTAACTCTCACTTTCACTAACTGATGATTTCAAACAATGCGTGTTTAATTTTATAGTAAATCAACATTGAATTTTTACAGTTTCTGTGCCATTATAGGATATTTTATAGGATCCTGTAAACTTACTGGATACTTACAATATGATATGGTGAATTTTAATACCAATTTATTTTCCATTGATGCATGCTTTGGATTTTTACCCCTTTTGACGTATTTAGTTTATGTTCGATGTTTTTCTTTTTTTGAACGTCTGCTTTTATAGTGTTGTTTGGCCCTAAATGACTTGAATTTCATAAGGGGTATAACAAATTCAAGCACACACAACAAATAAATCGCTAATTGCCATGCGATATCAGCATTTTACCATTGTGCCATCTTGTCACCTTTGTGTTGAACCGTTTCACCATTTTGCTACAAACGACAATTTAAACAACCTCTTAAATCTGCAAACCAGTGCAGGTTCGAGGAAAGAACAAGCATGCTGTATCGGACTGTATGATCGTAGGAGGNAATCGGGGGTTTTCGTCTGTGCTTTTGACACAGGGGACACGGCGGGGGAGATGAAATTTGATCTGCTTCAACTATTGCAACACTTAGCATTTTCTTTTTAGTTTCCTATCCTTTCTGTCTACTGTCTTTTCCCGGTGGTGTCTCCCTGGGCAGCCTTCTTCATATGACTGGTTGGTGTAAGGACGTTAAACCCCAAGCATACAAATCTTAATTCTGCAATATGGAAGAGGAATACAAGTAATAAAAACTGCATCAATTAATTATAAAATATGACTGTCAATAAGCTGTATAATTATGTAATTTGTAAATGGTTTCAGAACCGAATGGGTGAGAGTTTACGACTGTTTGATTCCATCTGCAACAACACGTGGTTCGTGAAGACCTCCATGATCCTTTTCCTGAACAAGACGGACTTGTTCAAGGATAAGATATCTCGATCACCACTCACAGTTTGTTTCTCCGATTATCAAGGTATTGTATTGTTTTATATTTATTACAATAGTGTAACATGCATTCATCTTTTAGTATAGTTTTATCGTTGGTGTATTGAAAAGATATTCTAAACAAAAAGTATTACGTCACTTTGTGAATTGAACAATGACGTCGATTTGTTGAATAATTTTAACTAATGGAAATATTTGAAGGTTGTGCCAACCTAGAAATGTATTCAAGTTATAAATACAATACCTAGATAATAATCAAAGAAGTGTTACACAAAAGTCAGCAAAATTATATACAGCAGGTATCCCAATGCGGATGTAAACGCCAAACACAATTAGTAATAAAGACAGCTGAACACGTGAAAGGAGATGGTAAGCATTTTTTTTTCATTTTAGGTCAGAACACCTTCGCAGAGACAGGACCATACATTCAGTTTCAGTTTGTGAGCACCAACAGACGCGAGAACAAGGAAATTTACTGTCACTTCACATGTGCGACTGATACCAACAACATTCAGTTTGTGTTCGATGCAATCAGTGACATTATTCTTAACGAAAACCTGGAAAGTATAGGTTTAAACTGACACGTTCATGTGCTATGTAGATATTACAAAGTAATACTTTATTGAAAAGTTTTCCGTGAAGGCAAGCACCCTAGAAAGGATCTTACTCTATGCAGCAGTATAGCGTGTCAAACGTAGTTACTCTATCCAGTAACAAAATACCACGTTGCAAAATTCACATGTTTGAAATTTTTGTTTCAAATATGATGAATTGACAAGATGTTCCCTACTCACGGTTCTACCGTAAACCGTTGACGAACACCGTATGACTTCTGTCCTTCCTGTAATACATGACTTTGAGTACGATATTAAGTATGGTTTAACATAAATGACTCGTGGATAAAAAAAAATCCTGTTTCCTATTTCGCAAGCGTCTAGCACGTGCGAGCTCCACTGGTAAGACTGATATTTGATATGTTTAATTTGAAATTAGATTATATTTTTCTCAGGTCAGAAGTAATCATGTGTATTTCTCATTTGTTTTTGTTGACCATTCATTGGCCCCAGTGACCTCTCCTGTGTTGATGGGCAGTTAAGCATGTTAAAAAATAATGATACATAATTCCTACAACGTATTGTGTTAAGTGTATGACTGTTTTCGCCCAGAAAAAAAAACAGTATGTACGTGCGAGTTCCTAACGTGTCTGAATATTGATGGGCGTGTTTTTCACCTGTTGTCCCCCTTTGCAGACTTTTTTTCTGGCTTTACTCGTTCTTTTCGCTTGGCTATTGAATAAGATACTTTTAAACTAAAGAACAACATCGACGCGGCTTTCCACCAGAAAGCACAATTTCCAGGTTCGTCGTCGTCTAATCTTCATCTTCAGGTTTAATCATCTTTGTGGACTTACCATGGCATATCAACGCAACATCAGCCCTGCAATTGAGTGTCATCTCTCACATATAGTGATTGATCTCAATCGTTGCTAAACAATGTAGTCCTTATACTGTTTCCTATTAAGTATACGACAATGCACCACTTAATGAGAAGGCGTGCGCGAAGAAATCGGCTTCTGGAGAGCCCCGTCTGAATTTATTTTATTATGTTATTTCGTTGTCAGGATATACTCGATACTGCATGGGTAGCCCTCACTTACGCTCTCTGCACCTCTGGAATATGTCATAGCAAAATTAAAGTCAAGAATATAGCTGTTTGATTGGTCTCAGATGAACAAACCTGACCAATCGCTAGCTGGCTGATAACTGTCCTTTTGAAGATTACAGAGGAGCAACACCCAACTTCAAAGCTAGCCAATGTTTTCCGTTACGCGACCACGATATTATTTTGATGTACATCAAATGATCGACCTAGTCTTGTCTTATCACACTGTGTTAACATTTCACACATAGTTTACATAAGTAGTTTCAAAAGAATTGATGACATTCAACTTTTAACGGATGTTGTATCCTACTGTTTAACCTTTTGCCGCGTTTTGAGGAAAATACAGGGTGAAGCTCCATCGATCTTCACTCTTCACTACTTAAACTAGTGTCTATGAATGCGTTAAATGCCGTAAATTTACTGAGCAGAAAATAGAGTGTTGAAAGTGGAATAATGATAAGTCGTGTGATGTTAAAATAAAATGTTTCCTTTCTAAATCTTTGTCGGCAATTTGGAGTAGTGCTTTTCCAAGAATTATGTTTATGGTTAACGATTTCCTCAACCATAACCACAACCTCTTACACATAATAAAAATGAACATAGTCATGTGATATGTTTCAACATCCAAATATAGTCTCTTTGATTGAACTACAATATCAATTTCTTTTGTATAACGACGAATGCTTGATTTGTCATTTCACAGTGTATGCAAATCCATATATTGAGCACATGAGCTTTGTAAACAGGTAACTACCCAGTATGACTGTATCATAATCACCTAGTCCCATACATAGAATTGCTGGCAGAAGTTTGAACGATTTTTTTTTAATTTAAACTAAGATTTTGACGAAATCGTTGGACATCTTTGTTCGGTTAGGATTGCCTGTAGTCGGAATCTCTAAACAGGGTCAGTTTTTATCCGAATCTTGATTGTTTGAACACTGATGTAATGAGTATTTTATTCAATATTTCAAATGCAGTGAAAGTAATATGTTCTGAAGAGCTGTGCGTGTATAAGTGGATTATGGCGAGAGATTTGACTAGCTATATATCACTCGTTAAATCTTGAATACACCGAATGTGTATGCAACTTTGTACTATTATTTGAATATGTTTATATATTATGTCATAAAATACCCTAGTCTCTGAGCCAATATAATAGTTTCTGCTATAAATGTATGTTATGTTTAATTACTTGCTACGAACATTGTCAAGAATGTGCAATGCATATATATATTTAACAATATATTTTTACAAGTATTTTTTTTAATATATAGAAATGCATATTAGATTATTGAATAAAATGATATTTAAATGTTCATCATACTTGCTTGCTATTGACACAAAAAGACAAACGCTGGTCGGGCTTAACAACATGAAGCGTATACAGAATCGAATTATATTTAATAAAAATTGTTCATGAGTCTATCCATTTGGATCAGTTTTAAAGAAATTCATACAGGAGAACACGGTAAAATGCAAGTACACGTATCGACCCTGACATTCGGTACTAAGTGATTGAGAAAGGTGATCAAAATATATTTACTTTTGTGTCATGAGGTCTTTGACGAAAGATGTGTCATGTAACTTATGTTTTTGATAATAATGAGAACATTTTCATTATTATGTCTCATAATGTCATAGCACATACACCGGACATAACAAAGAACAAAAACGGTCCTCTTAATATTAAATATCAAAAAGGCGCATTTTGTGTATTGTTAACAGAATGAAAACCCCCTTGTTGGAACATTTCAGATTGAGGATTTCTTGGAAACTTATCTTTTTGTCTGTAGAAGGTTTACAAAAGGTATCTATTTGTGCATTGCAGCAATATTTTCCTTTGGTCAAAACTCATGGACTATATGACAACAAAGTATGTACGTTCCTTAACGATGTATGCATGCGCAATGTGGTTCAACTCCATCAGGGTACAATTACGAAGTAATTCGACCAGGAAATAAGTTTTATACTAATTAAACCAGGCGTTGTTTGATTCTAAAAATGAGTTTTGTGGTAGGTACAAGTACTAGACTAGATTGATCCCGAAAAGTCTTCTGTTGACACCACATTGTGGGATAAATCCCAAAAAGTTTTCTGATAAAATGCATTCACATTTCAGTAAAATTATTTTTCGGGATCGATCCCGAAAAAAGATCATGCACATGCATCAGGTAAATGTATAGTTATTGTTGCAAAATTTTCGAGAATGATCCCGAAAATCTGCTAAAATGGTCACCCGTAAACTGATTTTTATTTTTGGGATCAATACCAAAAACAGACATATATTATCAGAAAATATGGCCGCATCAATTATATGCATCAACATTCTACCAACGTACATGGGTGAATTACTGAAAACACACGTCAAAAAGAGGACGCCATTAATGTTTCCTCTTCTGGAATGCATTGGGTTAAGTGTTTCTGTTTATAATTTTTCGCATTTCAATTTTTTTTTTGTGAAATTTGGAGAATTAATTCACTGACGTACGATATGTTGTAAAACTGTATAGTTCCAAAGTGTTTTTTTTATATTTCGTAATACTTGCATAGTTAGCCATCTCATGAAACAAGCGTTTGTATTTCAGTACTTCAGTGGTGTACAAAAACAATAAATCATTCTTTTTATCAAACTGTATATGATTCATGATGTTTATGAAATAAACAAAATACCTAAAACATGCAAGCGAGTCTATTATGTATTGTGTTTTACTAGTGAAATATATTAACACACACAAAATCTATGAACTTTTGCTGAGTGTCTAACAGATCATGCGTGACATTCTTGAGAATACGATTTTTGATATCATTATAGCCCGACCTGGTCTCCACTCAATGGTTAAAATTTCAGTTCATTTGCATACAGTATTTTTGGTAGATTAGAAATAATGATAACATAATATTTCCATTAAAGGGAATTAAAGGGAATTGAAGCACTTTGTCAAAATAAGAATTTGGAAATATTTTATTTAATTGACGTTATATTTCCGTCAATATATGAATATCTCTCTCTCTCTCTCCTATTATTCGATCTTATACATTTTTATAAGTGCATCTGCCTGGTCATGTGCAACTAGAAACGTGTTCCTCTGTTCCTGGAAGCAGATGCAGCGCGGATGGACCAGTCCTTGCACAAGGAGTTGGTCAGACATATTACCGTCCATAGATGTCTGCAACACCATACCCTCAACTACAGAAACCACGCATAGTTTCTCCCTGACCAGAGTTAGACCCCTTGGTCCAGTAGGTGTCGCCACAGTCCAGAGTTGTTCTCCAGCATACGTTATACATCTCACCTGGTCTTTATAGTAGTCAGACACATAAAAGCAGCGTCTGTTTCCAGCTACGACATGAGAACCAAGATCATAGTTTCCGTCCTCCTCAACTATCATGTTTCTATGACCTGCCATGTCAACCATGTCTATACCCGATTTCTGCCCACTCTCGTTACAGCTCAAACAGAGAAAATGTTGATTTTTGTATGAAATATCGTATAAATCCCAGCCCTCCTTATCAAACGACACTGACTTGTATCTCTGTAGTGTATTGTTGTGTACTGTATACAATGTTATACAGTTTGTTTTCTTGTCAGACACGGCGAGTGTCGACTTATCTATCACTGTCAGTCCTACCGGATCTTCGTCCACATTAGAATAATGTTTGAGGTTAAGATCAGCATCGAAGAGTTTCACCTTTTTATTCTCTTTATCTAAAACGACTACTCGATCATCAGGTAGAGTCACGATTCTCTGGATTTCTATTAAACGGTTTTTTCTATCACCTGGAACTCTTGATGAGAAATCTCTTTCAAACAGTGCTTTCAGAGGTGGTATCTCAGAGGTATCAGAAATTAACAAGTGTTTCGAATCGAGGTCTGAAATATCGACTTCCGACTGGGTAAGGAAATCAAACATGTTGTGAACTTCTTTGAATCTTGTGTTTTTATGTTGGTGACAACAACTGGTGCAAAGTACTTCTCTACACATAAGACAGACAGTCACAGTGTCAGTTTTCTCACAACGATCACATGTGTTCTTGTCATCGCTTTGGTTCGGAGCCGTGTCAGGAGGTAGTGGCACCTGTCGATGATCACGTGACTTGTGAAGAGAAGAGCATCCGGGGCAGTAAAACTCGTGGCAATCCAGACAGAATGTTTCAGCGCGCTGAAAGTCTGCCTTGCAGCTATCACATGTGGTGTACTGGACCGACGATGGCAAGAACGAAGAAGACGACCCCATTCTGAAGAATCTATAAAACACAATAGATCGCGTGAAAAGTAACTTTTATTTGACTTTTGTGTCCCCTACATTACAGAATAAAACACAAGCTCATGGACGTATAAACAAATACAATATATTTGTACAATAATGATAAGCAAACCTATACTATATTTGTTTCCTGGACACTACGTTCACAACTTCGGTTTAAAGCGTTCATGTTTTTAACAACATGAGATATTCAAAGATGTTAAACGATAGATTTCTGGTACAGGATTCCATACCCTCTACACCAGACTCAATACATGATAATTGCTATATAGGTAGTGACATAAAACTGCTCTTTTCGATAATTGTAAAACAGCAGAAAAATACATAGTTATCCTGGGGAAACAAAAGTAACATTGTACGTGATAGGGGATACTTTCGAATTCTAACCTAATTTCATATCACAAAAGTTCCATGTGTGTGTATTTGTCTTCAGCCGCTCAATTTTTAGATTTAGAAAGAAACCTAAAACCACGGATTAGATTATCTAAGTCCGTGCTTAAACGTCTTCCCTAGTTAAGGAGAAATTTTTCGTATTCAGTATCAAAGTGATGACCAAAACATCTGATACATTACAAAGTAGTATCTGGTCTACTTTCGCCGCATTATTTAAATACCGGTAACTCTAAACATAAAAAAGAATACTATTCTCATGTACCATGATTATCCCTCTCTTTTCTAAGGTTATTCAAATTTAACTGTCCATTTTTAGGAAACATGAGTCATGAGTTTCTATGTTTGTGATGGTGATAACGAAGAACATAATAATATTAGTGACAGACTAACACACCTTAAAGGGGGGAATACTGAAACTGAAGCAGACAATGCCAGCTACCATTTAAGGACTTTGGTATGTCCCAGCATGGGGACAGGACCCATTGTCTACCCTTCTAGGACGAACGCTCAACACAAGGCCAACAACATGGGATAAAGCAGGCCTATTCTTTCCCCGAATATGCAAAGGGTGTGTGGACATCTATGTGCTGTTTTTAGAAAGGCTTTCGATAGTGTAGCACACGACAAGTTTTGCAATAAAATTGTTATGACATAGAAATAGTGATAAATGCAATTCTATCAGTTTATGATAATGAACGTTTTGTTGCAATATTGCATGATTCGCTATCTGTCATGTTTCGTTGTCACCCATGCGTGTGTATAGTGTATGCGTGCATGCATGTGTGTGGTAGTGGTGGTATGTTGGTTTATTTGCCCCTAGTGATAGCGCGGATCTGTTGCCGACCTTATAAGGCTATCTAACTGAATTTCCGTGCCGTAAGCAACCAGCACAGCATTCCGCCTGGTCACATTACTATTTATATTTCAACAAATTGTATTAGACAAAAAAAATGAACAATTGGATTAGATAATAGTCATAGCCTATATAAGTCTTCACATTACAGTTGTCTGCGGCCTACGCACATTTATTATCGCCTGCTGGATAACCGCGAAATACTCGGAAGTGAAGCGGACGTAAAACCTATCATTAATCAGTTGACTAATCTGTTTACGTTATGCTTTATTTTGCCAATAACGAAAAAGACAATGACGATTGTTAAATACCAGCTATATTGTCTGCAAACTTACAATGAAAAATTGACATTTATTGGCAAATCAATTGAGATATAGTAGAAAACTTTGTTATCTAGGATAAGCCGTTTAGCTTTTATGGAAGATTTACTGTAGTACAAAATACATTGGCATAGCAGGGTTTAAATGCTTTTGACATTTGGAAAAGAAGAGAGAAAGGTTTTATCCTTAACTTTGAAACTAAAATATCATTGTTTCCTGAAGGCTCTGCAGTATTTGGGATTTGCTTTTGTGTCCTTCTCTACTTGGGGATTCAAAAACGACCAAAATAAATCTGCTGCGCCTATTGCAATATTGGAGGTATTTATATTTTTTCTACTTCTAACTATCTTTTATTTCCTAGCATATTTGCCCGGGTGAGGAAGGCATGCAATGGATTCTGTCTCGCGGCCGGGACATACCAAAGTCCTTAAAAATGGTAGTTGTTATTCCCTGCTTAACATTCATCGTTTAGGGTAATGGCAACAACTTGTTCACCCGTTGTCAGTATAATGTGACCGGGTGAATGCTGTGCTGGGTGTCTTAGGCATGGTGTTTCAGTGAGATAGCACTATAAAGTCGGCATCAGATCCGTGCTATCACAAGGAGTCAAATACACAAACATACGCTGCCTCCTGCACATACACACACGCAAGCACACATACACAACACACATGGAGGCTCGTCCTTAAATGATATTAGCTGTTGTTTTGACGTTATCATAGTAAAACCAAACCAAAACCACGGTGGCGCCTATATGGGTGTGAAGTGTCGGGTATTTGTTTATATTACCACTAATTGAAAATGTCTGCCTCATTTACTTAAAGGTTTATTGAATGTAAATAAAACGGTCAATACTTCGATGGTATACTTTGAAAGTAGGTTAACGTTTGCAATTGTTATGACAAAAAAAATGAACGTTTCGCAACGATAGTATGCATAATTTATGTTTACATGAAAGCTATAGCATACAAGGTAACCCGTATGAGACTACAGAATGGCTGTGTATTTGAAGTGTAATGATTGATATGTTTTATACATCGCTATACATATAGATTGCCCTTTCGAGGTCAATTGGATTGTCCTGCGAGTGATCTCTGTCAAGCTTAACGGTGCCATATAGATAGCCTAGCTTTGACCAAGGTGGAGTCACATCTATTTATATATTTATCGAACACCACGTTCATACGCTATTCTTGATAATGAACAGATGTAGGAAAGTGGTGAGCGATGAAACGAGCAATGTTTGAGTATAAATAGAGTGGTCAGTCCTATTTAGGTAATAGAGGGGAGGGGGGGGGGGGGGGGGGGGGGAACACGAAAGAAACCATTTAGATTGGGAAATACAACCTTAACAACCCAAACCGATCATGTTCATAACATTCTGGAACTGAATCTACAGATTGATTTTTGGTTTAAAGTCCCCGATTGTTGATGTTTTGATACGCATACTTATTACCAATTGACGATACTTCAATAATATCGAAATATTGTCGTTCTCATACATACCAGAGAGGTGTTGTGTTGTTATTGTCCACACCTTGTCAGCCACATTTCGAGGTTCCCTGTCGCCATTAATATATTGTATAATGTTTCACGGTTCTCCATGTTTGACGAATAGAATTTACCATCTGATCGTTAAGTATAGAAACATATAAATAATAAGTATTTTTATGCACTTGTACACTGTACACACCTATGTCCGACCTCGAATCAGCTTTGGTTATTTAAATGGCGGTATTGATTGTGCTCCTCACAATACACACACAAACCATTAAACTCTATGTGTATACACAACAAACCGATCAAGACCAATGTATTTTGATGTTGCCATTCTAGATCTTTTTTGAATGACGACGATTCAAAAGAATGCGATCGACCGTCACACGTTAACCATTGGTGTGTACATAAAGTACTAGCAGTACTGCTACCAAGCGAGAATAACGTTTCACGTAAAATGTGTTTTTTGTATAAAAAGAATGAAATATGTATAAATTTAATGTATGATAATACTCGTTCTCCAGAAAACATTGATATTTAAATCGAATGAGCTGTACGAAATGTGATATAATATGGTATGGCAAGTCAATCTCTCTTGACAAAGGTGATTAATGTGTGATAGCAACGTTTGTCTTAATCGATTCTCTAACTATCGGATGTAGAATATGAATACGCTTTACAAACGATAAAGATTTGACGAAGATTAATGTGGTATCTTAAAAACAGGTAGTAACAGAAAACCAAACATGCGTTTATTCAGATCTCATGTCTATGTACTTCTGAAACCCAGATTCCTTTTCAGTGTAAATGATGTGAAACTAAGCACTACGGATCAAGCTTGGCAGAGATCGATGCAGAACATATTTATGCGTTGCTATTTTTTTAATCGGTCCTGATACAAATTGACCATCAAACCCTGTTTTTAATTTGTCAAGAATCTTTATATAGTCAAAATATAATTTTGCAAGTATGTCCAAAAACAAATAATGATTTGAAATCTGTATGTAATTCATCAGCATCGCCGTATCCAGAACCATTCTAAAGTTTCTATAAAAAATGCAAGTCAAGATCCTTTTCAAATTAACTTTAATCTCGGTATGTTATTTCATCTTGTGTACTTGGCTTTTCCATAAAAACCAACCCTGCAAATACAAATCTATGAACAGACGGTTCAAATTATACCATTAGGGATTCAAGTATGTGTATTCTGTCTAAAGATGTCGGAATTCTTTCACGTGATTGTAGATTTGAGAATAAGTCAATCCGAAATTCAGTTCCGAAAAAAAGTATTTTGTCGATTGTATAATAAGCCCAATTCTGTGTAAAATGCTAATTCGACGTATTTCCTGTTACGTATCAAAACAATGTGTGTTTGTCCAAAGTTATTTTTACTCAATAGAATTTTTTTTCTAGCAATTATTCTTTAAGATATGTTTTAGATCTATCTAGTATAAGAGCTATATTGCTGGCATATCATGAAGTATAAAAATAGGTTGGTTGTTGACATTATGCCATTTCTATGTACATTGCTCCTATTCTTAATCGCAAGTTCTTCTATATATACATGCCTAAAACCTTCAGGTGAAATGGGTCACCTTGACAAAACCGTAGTTCAATTTCAAACGAAGAGATTACCACCCACCGGTACCAGCCTCGTCTATCAATACACCTATAATATAATCTTACAGGTGTATTGACAGACGAGGCTGGTACCTGTGTACCACCTTTATTATTTGCGCATACAGCATGTTTTTGATTTATATTGTCCGTTTTCCTAAATCCCTCCCTCAAAAAATGCTACTGTGCGCTATCAATTAAATTCCACGAAACGGAATGAAATATTGTGTAATCGAATTCGAATTTTAGAACAGTTTTCTTCTACGTAGCGCATTACACGTGGTATCATAATTTAGTCTAGATCAGCGTTCTGATACGAATGACTAAAATCGTGTTTGTTCTTTACTGCACATATAAGCCAGTCTGTAGATAACTTCTGGAAGAGAAACGGGTCTCCAGTTTTTAAGTGTTTGTGTTTTTCTCCTTAATCCCTACATCCGAGTCTCTGATAATTGTTTATAAATAGATGTAGTGTATGTACCTCAATATCAAATATCTTAACTGTTTCCAAAAGCATTAAAAGTTCTATAAAATAATCATCTGAGCCCAGGCTGTTACTGTTTTCCATATTTAAGTGATTTACCGCCTCATTTACAAAAAAAATCACCCCTGTCCCCTGCAGGTCGGGGACTGAGAAAAAGAGATCATAGGAGGCGACTAACGTGTGAAACCCTGCAGAATTGGGAATTTGCGATTGTGTCCTCTATTTGGGGACACACAAGCTACCAAAATAAATCTGCTGCGCCTATGGCAATCTTTTTGATCTTCGTATTTCTCTCTACTTCTAAGTACATTTTGTTTCGGAGTGCCTTTCTTGGCAATGCCCCACTTTTAGCTTTAATGTTGAACGTTCGCCCAGGTGAGGACGGCAATGGGTTCTGTCCCCAGGCCGGGACATTCCAAAGTCCTTTTTATTCCCTGCTGGACGTTCTGAATTCAGGGTAACAGCAACAATTTGACTGGTTCATCTGTTTTCAATATATATACTGTGACCGGGCGGAATATTGTGCTGGGTGCCATCGGAATGGTATTTCAGTGAGAAAGCAATATAAAAAAAAATGATAGAGCTAATATTTAAAGTGAAATGTTGGAACTGCATGTTTTTTTTTAAATATCCTTCCTTTAAAAGCTTGTTACTACAAGACACTTTATGTAATCCATTTAAAAGCTGTTTACTTCCATAGCACTTTTCATTTACGAAATGCACATAAAAAGAAATACATGACATGTAATTCTCTCATCTATATCTAGGCTCTATATTTGAAAAGGCCGTATTGATAGTAGAAACTATTTATCCTTATTTAGAGAAACATCGCGCTGAACGTTCCTGTGTTCTAGGGTTTGTACATCGTAGCTTCTCATGGTCTTTCGAGCTAGTATATAATATTCTCTCTCTATATCTTCAATTATCTCTACCGTCCTTTCCCATAGATTTTCTAATAATAATATACACTTACAAATAGCTGTAATCATAGACGCCGGGGGTCAGCGTTTATAACGAAATAAAAAATCTCTACATAATATGAAAATATAGTTATGGTACCACTTGTTTTAGTATTTAGAACAAAGACAGTCATAAATGTTGCCTCTTGTGCCCTTGATGAAGGGAGGTAACTCATCGAACTTTGCGTACGAAAAAACTATCACGTGACTTTGTCAAATGGCGTACAAGTCATGTGATCTGTATAACCCGTTCAAAATGGTTGTCGTGTTGTGAAATAGCTCAAGGGAACTTGTAGCACGTGTTGTGTGTTAACCAGCCTGATAAGAAACTCAATAATACATTCAATCAACAGAGCTAGAGTGTAAACTAAATCATGGACGAACAAGAAGACGACATATTTGATGAAAATGCCTCTGAGATCATGATTGGTTCTAGAGACTGGAAGAAAATGGATTCCAGTTTGATCAAGGTGTGCTATTTTTGTAGTGGACTGCAGGTCCACATATGGCTTAATTTACTGATAATTTACATATAATGATGTCTGTATAATTTTTATATTTACTGATATGGACATGTCAAGGAGTGGTTTCACTCTGTCACACTGACGATAAGATACATTTCTACGATCTCTCCAGTTCCGCTGCAATATAATAAAAATAATATTTATTCAGGTAAAAGGCAAATAGTACACGTATATCACATTTTGCAGATTGGACATAATACATATATTGTCACAGAATGAGATGTTATTTATAATTTATTTATGTCATAAAACTAGTAATCAGTCAGGTGTTAACACTGGATTGGATTAGATTAATTCAGGTCTTTACCTGGGATGACCCATAAAGCCACATTGTAATTCCAATGAGGTCCCTTAAATAATTTGTGTTTGAATTTTAGTATATATTTTACATACATTATTTCATAATTAATATTAAATACACAAAATGTGACGTGAACAATCCAGACTTGTTCTGCCCCTGATTGAAATTCAGGTACATGTAAATACATTTTTTATTTACAAGTATATATACAAACACAAGTGAATCCTTTACAATTCCTCAATAATATTATGGACTGAGAAGTTCGATAACTTATGAGGACATTTGAAAAGCAATAGAAAACATGAATCAGTGTCTCCTGTCAATTTATATGTTTTAATTTAGTTTTCAGTCACATAGCCTGTAATAATTGTAAGTGAAAGTGCAAGTAATTTGAAATAATTAAAATACCGGTATATATATTCAGAAATGTATGGAGAAAATGATAGAGACCTGCAGATATTGCTATGAAATTTCGGGCAGGCAAACCTCTTGCAATTATTCATAAATGTGTCACAGATTATATAAATCCATCAGTTTATACTCCACCTAATTAAATAACATATCACACCTGCTCATTAATTCTGGCTCCAAAATATAAATTTAAAAAGTGACCAAGTACAGGACCAGGATTCTAAATACTGGCGGGAAATTTACTGTATGTTTCAGAAATGCTAAGTCAATGGATCAGTTGCGGATCAATCTTTGTGTATGATCAATATTTGGATTTTGAAGATATTCCATATCGATGGATCGGTCTGAAATCATGGTTGTCAATTAAGGGCCATAACAAATCAGAGGTTGAAATATGCAAATTAGGGAGTTGTTACCGATCTGTTAAATGCATCCGTAACAACCCAGGTTAACAAACCAAACAACATGATCTCAAAGTGATTTCAACCTGATACATTAAAAAAACAATTTATGGGTACTTTGTATTTATCAGTATGTATTACAAAATATACACTTGGACACAAATATATTGCCATGACAAAAGTAACTTCTTGTGTTGAATTAATTAAATATTCTGCACCAGGGTCGACTGAATTCATGAAACCATTCTCATGCTCAAACTTCCATTTTTTTCTCAAGACAAATTTCTTGTTCTGGTGATAAATGAATAAGAAACACATTTCATGAATGATTTGTAAGAATTTTGGAGACATCTCAACCCCTGATTACAGTTTAAGTGTTTTTACTTTTTCACTGTGTCACATGATTTCAGCGAGTTTAATAAATGCAAGAAAATCAGTTTGCACACAAAATCCATGCTTGAGCATGAAAACAGTTCCATGAAAACGTCCCCAGGAGTGAGAATTTTTAAAACTACACATACAGAAGTAAACTATTTGAGGAGAAGAAATATAAATTTGATTTGGGTCATCTTACATTACTGTTGCAATTCCTATATATTATTTCATAATATCAACATTTAAACAGTGGCAATGTTTGTGAAAATATTTTTCTGCATCTTGTGTTTGATTTTTAAAAAACCACATATAAACTCATGAAGTCCTTTCAATGCATTTTAGCTTGGTTACCGAGATGGAATATCAGAAGGCCAAGAGATCAACGTTCAGGAGGGCTTTAACCAGGGGTACAGCATTGCAGTATCACTGGTGTTCAGTATAGCTGTACTGCGTGGAGAAATAAGGTAAATGGGTGAGAAACTTTACACAAGGTGAATAAAGTGCGACACGGATGTCTTTGCCAAATACTAATAATCTGTTATTCATGTATATATTGTATCTTTGATGCTATTTCTGTGTGTAAATATTTGGTACTGATGGTTCATTTATACCTAACAGACAGAAATTGGGATGATTTCCACTAGTGCTTTATCATTGAATTTGGTATACCTTTTATTACTTTTTTTTTGCTATACTCTTTGGTAAATTTATCAATCTTGTGTACTACATTATCTGTTGCAGTGCCATTCTGTCAATGAAACACATACAGCAGACAGCTATGGACAAATCTATGGAAGCTGAACTGGAGCAGCTCCTACAGGAAGTTCGAGATCTAGAGCAGAGTTGTATGAAAACATCCACTAGTATGGAAAATAAGGTGGACCAACCGAAGGACAGCATACAAAGTGGCAAAGAGGACAACAAGGTCGCAGAGGCCGGTAACGATTCAAACCAAGAGAGTTGTGTGGATTGTGTATGTAAAGAGCGGGATTCTCAAGGTCACGGATGTGGCCAACGCCATGATGTGCAAGGTCAGTTAGTACAAGCCGAGGAGAGAGTGGATATAGCTGAACATTCATCAGCCACATCGCCCGATACAAAAAGAATGTTAGAAGAGTTACAGAGACGTCTGAAGATCATCATGGAATCAGTGAATGTTAAATGAGTGTTGGAGGTGTAGAGAGTGACCTTTTGTAGAGTTAAATTACATGTGTCACATGTCCACTTAATTAAATTGATGTAGACCACATCAGGGCACATTGTAGTCCAATGCATTCTAGATGAGTGATAAATGAAAACAAGTCCATTCAGAATGAAAGAGAAGTATAGTGCAATGCATCATTTAAGTGTCACCCTGGTAAAATATAATTAGCCGTCTCCTGCTGACTTGGATAAGGAGAATTTGTCCATAGTTAATTCGGTGGAGCGTTAGACTTGTAACCCAGAGGTCCCAGGTTAGACTCCTTGTGGAGGCATTGAAAAAGTAATGACCCCTGTTACATTGGGGCCCACTTAGGGACCGGAGTAATATTGAAAAATATACTCAGCAACACTTTCACGAGAATCGCTATGACCCCTGGAAAACTCAGGACAAGTTTTTACCTGGAGGGGGAATATGTTACCCTGGTAAAATACTAGCCGCTTCCTATTGACTTGACTTGAGAGATTTTCTCTTTAGCTCATTTGATAGAGCGCAAGACCACAGACTTAGATAACACCCTCTAATCTAATTCAGTGGCAAGACTAGTAAGCCAGAGGTCCTGGATTCGACTCCTGGTGATGGCATTGTAAAAAAAATGACCTGTGTTGCATGAGGAATCAAGACAAAGTCCTGGAAAATGTTATGACTGTTATTAACATGTTAGAGCTGGAGTGAGGAAGCAGCTCTGTGACTCAACACACATCAGGAAACCTTGCACTCAATTTGTTATAAAGAAGGAAACCTAATGTGTAGTTAACAACTCTGTCTATTGATGTAATAGTAGTGTTCTCACTGTATTTGGGTATTCAGTCCCCATTACCAGATAAATTATAAACCAATTATGCAATCGATCATCCGTTGGTTTACTACTTCCGATTACAAACCGATCATGGATTATGATTTGGAATCGATTGCCCATCATTACCATCTAGTAACTAGTCCTTTTATATAAACTCTGTTGACTTCTTGGTAATGTAACATCGTTCATTAAGGTATTTCTCTCGCAAGACAAGTGTGTGAATGTTATTGTCCATCTTGAATCTCGAATAATAAATTATTTCAGACTTCCCTTGTGTGTCAAGTTCTATATTACATAACTGATTATCGAGATGTCGTTTCATCCTACCTTAATTAAGTTTGTATGAAATGATCTCCTTTTAAGAATTCAACATAATCAGTTTTAATTGTAAGATTGATTTTATTAACTTGACTGATTTAAGTTTTTGGGTATACATGTACTTGTATTCCGCATTAGTATGTGTAAATTTGAAAACGTGGAGATACTTTCACTATGAAATAGTCTTTAAAACAAGAATTCTACAGGAGTGGTTGTGTTGCCTGCTCAGCGCTTTTAGTAAGAAAAATTGAAACTTGACAGAAAACCCGTAATATAAGTTGAACATTATTGCTTCTAGCATTATCGTACACAATTTGAAAGGAATTAATTAAAAAATAAAATAGTTCTTGCACTAACTACACAATGCCCTTTTTTGGCAATAAAAGGGGCATAACTCTGCCAAAAATGCACGTAAACTTCCGAAATGCGAACTTGTCCGAGCTATATTGGCAATACGTGTACCAAGTTTGAGTTCAATTAACCCAAGGGAACTCAAGTTATCACACGGAAACCTTGTTTCGGACGACGCAACTGACGCCGACATTGTAATACCTATATGTCGCCTCGCGTTGCAGGCGACACAAAAAACGTGTTGATAACATTTAGGTAATTTATAAAAATTACTATTTATAATATTGAAACTTATTTGAGGGTTATTACTCTTACTGTAAGTAACAATTGGTTTAGATATAATTGTTAAGATAGCATTTATCTTTATATCAAATTCACTATCGCCTGATATCTTGGTTAACTCGCTGTCCAAATCTGTAAACTATAGAGTATACATGTATGTATGTAGGTTAGGATTGTACAATCTGATAAGGTTTCAAGGGTAATTCAACTTTAAACCTCAAATCTAATGTACAACTTCATAACTATGATTTTTTGTCCTTCTCATATCATCAGAATAAAAAGAACAAAATAGGACAATTTGTAAAAGTATTTAATATTCGTTGATGTATACTGCATATTTATAACAGCATTTTTGATTGGCTAGAGGATAGTGCTCGGTCAGCCAATGAAACTCGATCTTTCAACAATGCATAGTCCTTCATTTCCGCAGAACTTTTCTTCAAAAGGAAATGTTGCATGAATAATTTAAGTCCTTCATGTAACATATGCAGTTTGGTGAGAGGTGCAATCCGCATAAAACATGCTTCAATCGCATCCTCGGGGTGATCAAGTAGAAGTCCCCGAAACACTTGCTTCATAAACCGCACCATGATTTTATCTAAGCTGCCGAATTCTACAACCTACAAAAAATAGAACATAGTTAATCAATCTTTTGTCAACACTTTATAACACTTAATGTCTCGATGGAGGCCAATATAACAATATTACTTGCACAATTAATTCTGACAGTTAAAATATTCAAATGTGGATTTAATTTCCAATCCTTGGAAATGTCAGACGAGTGGTAATTTTTCGGAAGTTGCCAAAACATGGGCTTGCAGAGCATTTGCCAACTTCAGAATCTTTCCAGAGGCCTCAGATTTCCCAATGCTGATGACATAATACAAATAGTATGACTAGGGAATCCCCTTATCTCAAACTAAGGATAACACAAAGACCACTCACACCAGGAATAGAAATCCAAACAGAGAACTGAGATTGGGTCATCATCTCAGCCAGAGACCTATGTTACAGCATATCACCCAGGGACTGAGACCAATGATAGTCATATCACCCTGGGACTGAGACCTATGTTACAGCATATCACCCTGCTACAGCATATCACCCTGCTACAGCATATCACCCTGGGACTGAGATCAATGTTACATCATATCACCCTGGGACTGAGACCATTGTTACAGCATATCACCCTGGGACTGAGACCTATGTTACAGCATACCACCCTGCTACAGCATATCACCCTGGTAATGAGACCTATTACAGCATATCACCCTGGTACTGAGACCTATGTTACATCATATCACCCTGGTACTGAGACCTATGTCACATCATATCACCCTGGGACTGAGACCATTGTTACAGCATATCACCCTGGGACTGAGACCTGTTACATAATGTCACCCTTGTAATGAGACCTGTTACATCATATCACCCTGAGACTGCGACCTATGTTACATCATATCACCCTGGGACTACTGAGACCTGTTACATCATATCACCCTGGTAATGAGACCTGTTACATCATATCACCCTGGTACTGAGACCATTGTTACAGCATATCACCCTGGGACTGAGACCATTGTTACAGCATATCACCCTGGGACTGAGACCTGTTACATAATATCACCCTGGTTATGCTACATCATATCACCCTGAGACTGAGACCTGTTACATCATATCATCCTGGGACTGAGACCTATGTTACATCATATCACCCTGCTACAGCATATCACCCTGGGACTGAGACCAATGTTACACCATATCACCCTGGGACTGAGACCAATGTTACAGCATATCACCCTGGGACTGAGACCTGTTACATCATATCACTCTGGGACTGAGATCAATATTACAACATATCACCCTGGGAATGAGATCAATATTACATCATATCACCCTGCTACAGCATATCACCCTGGGACTGAGACCAATGTTACACCATATCACCCTGGGACTGAGACCAATGTTACAGCATATCACCCTGGGACTGAGACCTGTTACATCATATCACCCTGGGACTGAGATCAATATTACAACATATCACCCTGGGAATGAGATCAATATTACATCATATCACCCGGAGACTGAGATTTATCAGAAGATATCAGACTGACATATAAAATAACCATGGGATTTAAAATTAATTTTAATATGAAATTCTGCTTATATATTTTTTAAGTGACTTTATGGTTATTCTAAACCTACTATAATCCAGAAATGTTGGTGATGTGATTTTTACCTTGAATAAAGAGAGAGACACAGCCTTGGTTGCCAGGAGATGCAACACCATCCGAGCCAGGTTGTCACGGTTACGCTCAGACAGGTTACTCATCTCCTTAAACTTGTCCCACATTGTGAACTGGAATGTCATCTGAATATAAAACAACACGTTTTCATACTGAACATTTCATCACAGTAAATGAAGGACATTTCATTTATATTAAAAATACTCTATTTGGGAAGGGAAGGATGGGTCATTATACTTAAGCATACATAAGTTCTGATAGAGTTAAATTTTCATATAAAAATTTCTTAAAGATTTTCAGTAATCAATCTGAATAGAAATTGATCCTTGTGAATCCAGTGACATGGTCATTTTTGAATTATTATAAAAATGTGGAGTGCCATGGACTTAGTCTAATTAATTCAACATTAACCCTTTCACCACTGACCATAATGGGCTCATCCTGATCAATGTATGGTAGAGTCTACTAAAGTTACATAGGGGTGAAAGGGTAAACGTCTATTCAAATCATTGATTATATAGGAATATTGGAGGGGAGCACTTAAAATTTATATTAAATAGTGTGGGGGTGGGGCAGGGACTGCAATAATTTAACAACTGTGTATTTGGCACCAGGTTGAAATCATAGTGGACCTTGTATTTTCTTGAAAAGACCTAGATAATGGAGATGGATACGAAATCAGGTCATAACAGTGTTCTCAGACATATTAGCTGTATAACAGTACCTGAAACCTCCTGTCATATTCACAGAACTTCTGAAGGAGGTAGGCATAGAATGGGTTAAAGGATTTTTCCTGTTGACAGCAGTCCAAGATGACATGGATTATCTCCCTTTCCTGTTGATGTTTCAGTCCCAGCCTCAACAACCGCTCAAAGGCATCCACAAAATCCTGTAACAATTTGAAAGTTGTTGATCAGCTACAGTTAAATAAAACCGTATCATTTTCTGGACAGAGAGGGCCTTTTATGAAACAAAGTCAGGACATAAATATGGACTATGATCAGAATATAGAGGCAGGTATGACTGTTCAGAATAAACTAAATAGAAGTTATACTGTATAACATAATAATGATAGTGACAAAGGGCTATCCACTTAGTCTATTACCTCACTGGACATGATGGTACAGAAAATATTACGACGGATGTCCGTGTTCATTCTCTGTTTCCGTGCCAACTCAAGGATCTTACTGCTGCTGCTCTTCATGATCTCCAGCGATTGGTTCATTTCTGTTGTCTTGGCAACCTCATCTGTAACGAATTAAGCTTTCTTTCTTACAGATCTTCACCTTTATACGTAAATGTGTATCAAGAATTTTAATAGACCAAATATTTCAAGTGAGAAATTGCTTTGCCCAGACTCACTTGTATCCTACAAATTTTGGGCTGTTGTTGTTCTTTCCAGCCCAGAACTCACCTTTATCTTGTTGTTGGTCTCACCTGTCCAGGACTTACCTGTATCTTGTTGTTGGTCTCACCCAGCCCAGGACTCACCTGTATCTTGTTGTTGGTCTCACCTGCCCTGACTAACTTACTAATGTTGGGTTTTTGTTATTCTCATCCAGCCCAGGACTTACCTGTATATATCTTGTTGTTGGTTTCACCTGCCCTGACTGGCTTACTGATGTTAGGTTTATGTTATTCTCACCCAGCCCAGAACTCACCTGTATATTGTTGTTTGGTCTCACCCAGCCCAGGACTCACCTGTATCTTGTTGTTTGGAATCACCCAGCCCAGAACTCACCTGTATCTTGTTGTTTGGTCTCACCCAGCCCAGGACTCTCCTGTATCTTGTTGTTTGGAATCACCCAGCCCAGAGCTCACCTGTATCTTGTTGTTTGGTCTCACTCAGCCCAGAACTCACCTGTTTCTTGTTGTTTGGTCTCACCCATCCCAGGACTCACCTGTATCTTGTTGTTTGGGCTCACCCAGCCAAGGACTCACCTGTATATTGTTGTTTGGTTTCACCCAGCCCAGAACTCATCTGTTTCTTGGTGTTTGGACTCATCCAGCCCAGGACTCACCTGTATCTTGTTGTTTGGGCTCACCCAGCCAAGGACTCACCTGTATATTGTTGTTTGGTCTCACCCAGCCCAGGACTCACCTGTATTTTGTTGTTTGGTCTCACCCAGCCAAGGACTCTCCTGTATCTTGTTGTTGGTCTCACCTGTCCAGTACTCGCCTGTATCTTGTTGTTGGTCTCACACAGCCCAGGACTCACCTGTATCTTGTTGTTTGGTCTAACTCCGCACAGAACTCACCTGTATCTTGTTGTTTGGTCTCCCCCAGCCAAGGACTCACCTGTATCTTGTTGTTTGGTCTAACTCCGCACAGAACTCACCTGTATCTTGTTGTTTGGTCTCCCCCAGCCAAGGACTCACCTGTATCTTGTTGTTTGGTCTCACTCAGCCCAGAACTCACCTGTATCTTGCTGTTTGGTCTCACCCAGCCAAGGACTCACCTGTATCTTGTTGTTTGGTCCCACCCAGCCCAGAACTCACCTGTATCTTGCTGTTTGGTCTCACCCAGCCAAGGACTCACCTGTATATTGTTGTTTGGTCTCACCCAGCCAAGGACTCTCCTGTATCTTGTTGTTGGTCTCACCTGTCCAGGACTCGCCTGTATCTTGTTGTTGGTCTCACCCAGCCCAGGACTCACCTGTATCTTGTTGTTTGGTCTCACTCAGCCCAGAACTCACCTGTATCTTGTTGTTTGGTATCACCCAGCCCAGGACTCACCTGTATCTTGTTGTTTGGTCGCACCCAGCCCAGAACTCCCCTGTATCTTGTTGTTTGGTCTCACCCAGCCCAGGACTCACCTGTATCTTGTTGTTGGTCTCACCTGTCCAGGACTCGCCTGTATCTTGCTGTTGGTCTCACCCAGCCCAGGACTCACCTGTATCTTGTTGTTGGTCTCACCCAGCCCAGAACTCACCTGTATCTTGTTGTTGGTCTCACCCAGCCCAGGACTTACCTGTATCCTGTTGTTGGTCTCACCCAGCCCAGGACTTACCTGAATCTGGCTGCTGTTGGTCTCGTCCTACCCAGGCCGACCCCACAACCCACCAACGTCCTTTGGCATCTGCCTGGAGAAGATCGTCTAGACTGATCCGCAGCTGTCCCACTCCCAGACCGTGACCTTGAAATGAACAAGGTCATCTAAACCGGATCTATATATGCACGTGTATATATACATAAAAGCGGTACATGCATCAGACTGTAAAGACATTGAAAAAATTTAAGCACAGTTATTAGCTGATAAATTACAGGCAAAACCAGCATCATCTGTGATTCCATTTGTGTTACATGTAGCAAAAAAAAATTGCCCACTGGCTTTTTTAAACAAATTCACCCAATGATAAATTTGCCCTGTTATTCAAGGAGAAGGACAGGGCGTGAACATTTCCTGTTTTAAAGTAATCTCATTTATTTTCTACAAAACAATTTTCATCATCTTTGATGTTAATCAATGATCCGTAATTGTGTTACAAGTTTCTATGATACAGTAGTGTAGCTGTATCGTACCTCGTAAATAAACCCGCGTTTGTTTCTTCAGCTGTTCCAAGTGATCAGGATCATAGTTTGGGATTTTCCTCATGTTGTTGTTTTTGATGGCTAACAGTGTGTCCAGCATGAAGCGAACCCGCGTCTTTTCCTCAAAGTGACTTGTGTCGACGTCTCTAGCCTTTGTCTGGATGTCCTGGATAACCTGCTTCAGTACCATAGGGTCATCCTTTCTCAAGCTGAATCCCACGTCTACAAGAAATACTCTCGTATTTTATGTAATGTACCGTAAAAACCCATGTAATTTGCGCACCTGTGTTATTTGCGTAGGTACTTTTTTTGAGGCTGAAAATCGGGAAAAAAGCTTCTACTCGAATATTTAATGAAAATGTCAGAGTGAAATAGACCATAACAGCTGTGCTTGTTCAGCTTGTATCATTGAGTCTCAGAAGAATAGCCTTCAGTTAGAATTAGAAATAGCTATTTCATAAAACTTTTAATGCATTTGAAAAAATAAATTATTGCTGTATTTTCATGTTGATCAAGAAATTTTTATGTTTTTTTTAACAGTATTTTACAGAGAGAAAAAATGCAAAATATCACAAATTATTTTCAATGCAGTAGGTGACTTTAATAGTCATTTAAACTGAACAAATGACTAGAACATAAAGTGCCAGTTAACTACATATTTATTACAAACAATTCAAATTCAATCTCCATCCACACAAAACAAATAAAATACAAACATATATATATTAAAACACAATAAACAAACAAAAAATGGCAAAAAGGGGCAACTCAGTTACTATGTACTAAAACATGTATGCATGGTGAACATCTTTCACCTGAGGGTGTCAGGTAAGATTGATTGTTCACAAATTGTGAAGCTATTGACTCCTCGACCAATCAGCTAGCGGACCGTATACCAGGCAGGATGTGATACTGCAAGGAGAATGGAGCGGTACTTGGCGTAGCGGTAAACGAGAAGAGGAGAATGCCTGCACTACATGTATTCTATTCCCCATCTCAGTGTAGCTTGATGAGCTACCAGGTTCGAATAAGGAATAATATTATGTATTGTGAAAATGAATTAGCATAAATATGTAAATATTAAACTTGTTCATAAACCTCATTTCGTTGCAGCTTAATGAGCTTTAGTAAGTCTGAATGAGGTTTACAATAATTATGTTTTGTAAAATTGTCCCTAATTCCCACGCTCATTGTATCTAGTTGTGTGATACACTAGCTTATGAGAATTAGGTTGCAAATAGCTCAAGCAGTAGGTGACTATAAAAGTCACAACAACAGAAAGTTGACAGCTACATTGGCTAACAGAGGAAAAAGTATGAATACTTATCCTTTTCATTGCTGACAATCAAAACCATTGTAACAGTTGTAGCTTCAATCACTTATTACACAGATACACAAATAATAATCCACATTAAATTAAAATCATCTGTTCATTTGCAAAGTCCTAACACCCTTATCCAACTGAAATAAAATAAACCTGCAGATTGAATATATCACAGGGTAGAATTCGTTACAATATGGCATCAATGCTACAGTCAGCTAAAGGATTTATAGACTAAAAGTCTACTATTTAGATGTGATACTGTTTGAAAATCAAAATGTCCTTTGGGCCATACAGCTATCAGAGTTAAAAACATACTTTTTAGTAGAAGAAGCAGCAGTTCAATGTCCTTCTCCTGAAATGCTGCCACAAACTTCTTGATCAAGTCCATGATGAGTATGTTGTGTATAATCTGTACAGAAATATAGAACAGGCTCATTTTATCTAGAAAGCAACACATGGTACATAATCTAAATGGAAAGAGAAAGTAGATTGTCAACAGAGAGAAAAAAAATCATTAACAAAACTTACATGTACACCTAAAAGATCAACATTATACTTCTATCAAGTCAGAATATGAAGGTTTAAAAAAAATTACCACACGGTTATAGAAAACTTTTTGAATTCCTAGTTTTCTGGTCATATCCAATCCATTTTGAATAAACCACTCACTGATTTTGTAAAAATGAGAGGTATATCACTTGTTACATCTGCAAGTGGTTTCATGAAAGAACTTTTCAACATCAAAATTGTAAAGTTGATTGGTTGCTTTTACAGGGATTGACGTCCTTTCAATGGCTCAGGTCATTTAAGGAGGTGGTTTCAATTACTACATTAATATATTTGGCGCTCAAAGAAATACACCTAGGTTTTCCAGGGTCTGATGTGTCTTTAGGGTTGAAGGCTCTGATAAAGGAGGGAGGAATGTAGTGGAACTAGACTAGGTGGATGGTTGGCGAACAGGTAGCTCAATTGGTAGAGCATCCGTCTAAGAGTTTGGAGGGTTCCTGGTTCGAACCCCGGTCTGGCCGTGCATTTTACCGCTCCTACTACAATTACTCATTGAGATGAAGTGTGTCGTAAATAAACAAGTTTCTAGATAAATGAAGACTATGATGCTATATTATGACTTACTTTGAAGCTTGTTTCCAGGTAAATGACGACTATGATGCTATATTATGACTTACTTTGAAGCTTGCTTCCAGGTAAATGAAGACTATGATGCTATATTATGACTTACTTTGAAGCTTGTTTCTAGGTAAATGATGACTATGATGCTATATTATGACTTACCTTGAAGTTATAAAGGTAGGAAAAGAGCAGTACAATATTGTCTACTTCCTTTCCTTCACCGTATCGATCTGATTGGCTACAGCAGGACGAGAACCTCTCCGCCAATGTCTGAGTGAACGTTGCACCTGAGCATGACATAAAATAATTATGATAATTTGAGGTTCTTATATACCGCTTTGTCACAACCTAGTTCGTAGGTCGTCTCAAAGCCATTCACAAATTATTATCCGTGGTTATAGGGCCTTTGCAACGAGCCAATATCTTTCTCAACTCCTTGGGGAGCATACAGCCGGAGCTGCCATTTCGGCGCTCACAACTAGCATTCAGCAATTCTAGCACTATACCCAACCACGTACTCATTTACAGCTGATCATGAGTAGACTGGAACAAGCAGAGTAAAGTATCTTGCTCAGAGATACAACACAGTGCCGTGACGTGAGTTGAACTTGCAACCCTTCGGTCCTAAGCCGGGCGTCCTACCACTAGACTACCGTGCCTCCTGTATAACTGTAAATTCACTTATTGAGATATTAGTACACTTTAGTAAATTATTGTCTTCTTATACAAAATGATGATGATAGTATGAAGCTGCTCATAGAACTAAAATGACCTTTAGTTCAATGATATAATGATGTATTTGAAGGAAAAAATGTAAAAAATAACTTCCTTTTAAGATAGTCTGTATCTGTATATATATATAAACCTAGGTAAACTCATGATTTAAGTGTTATTATATTATGCCTACTTGTATGTCTGAGTAACCTGGTACAGTGATCCAATCAATAGACCACAGGTCAGCAGGAGGGTTCAAGATTAATGGTGTTAAAGAAAAGAAATATCTACATTAAGATTTTTCTAGCTATCAATTGTTCAATTCCAACAGGAAAACAATTCATAATACCCGTACTTGCCAACTCTCCCTATTTTGGAGGGAGAGTCCCAATGTTGGTATGGTTGAGTGTTTTTCACCAGTGAATTATCTAAACTATTCCTACTTTCTGAGATCTGATAATTTCATCTGAAAGAACAGCTCAAAAGATGTTTTTTAAAAGTGTTATTTCTTCCCTTGAGTTTACATATTCATATTTCATTTATGCTTTTTATTCTGTGGTAACGTATATACCGTATTTGTATTTTCTCTGTCTAAAGTTTATCCCCATCACCCCATGACCGCGGGATAGTCGCGGAGGGTAACGTTTTGAAATTTCCATGGGGGAGATTATGTAATCTCCCCCATGTAATCTCCCCCATAATAATCTACCCCATGGAAATTTCAAAAAGTTGGCAAGTATAACACTGTAATGCTTATTTGTACAGCTATTTCTTAACTCAATATCTGGCAAGGTGTCTTGTTCGCTTACCCACTTCCATGCCCACGTTGCCGTGGAGAATGGCCAGCAGCATCATCAGCTCCATGGCAAGCCTCTCCGGCGTGATAACGACAGACACGCAGGCATCCAGGATAATCTCGGCGAGGGTTTCATTCATTTCTGCTCGGCTGTTTGTGCGGTAGATCTCCTCAATCTGAGAACTGATCGGATTGATGTTTGCCTGACTAACCCTGGTAACATCAATAAAGAATGATGTTAGGAGTGAGAACTAATCATGTTCATCATAACCTTAACCAGTTATTATTGAGAGGAGAAATCTTCCTTGAATTTTAGGAAAGTATAACATATCTGTGAGCAATAATATTGAAACAATATAAAACCATTTTTAGAATAATTATTACCTTATATGGATAATCCATCACACCAGAAAAATAATGTATGACAACTGTATTACCTGGGTAATAACAATGACATTCTATACCATTAAAACACTTTAGTTATGTGCCTGAAAATGAATTACCTGTTAACAAAACTTACGTTTCGTGCCTGAAAATGAGTTACCTGTTAACAAAACTTATGCTTTGTGCCTGAAAATGAGTTACCTGTTATTCAAACAAAACTTATGTTTCATGCCTGAAAATGAGTTACCTGTTAACGAGACCCTTGAGCTGTTTCCGTAGCCTGTCTAAGCGTATTTTGTGTTTCTCGTCCCCTCCTGCCATGGCAAGGCGCTTTGCTGGGGGTACATATGTCCCACTGACTGTTGAGGCTTGTACAACGTTGCCTTGTGCATCCCGTAAGCGGCCATATATATCCTCCTTCAGCTCTGGAGTTTTATTCAGTTTGTCCTTTTTTTCCTCTTCGTTAATTTTTTCACTCCCCTCACTCTCATCGCTAAAGTAAGGGTCATTATCACTGTTGTCCATGCCGTGAGTTTCAGAGTCAGGCATTTTTGAAGCAACACTCTCTGGGAATTTAACTCGGTTTTCACTTTTCTGTTTCTTAGCGAGTGAGGATTTGTCACTCGACTTAAGAATCGATTTGATATCAGATGCTGTTGATAAAGACTGAATTACCTCTACTCTTGAAAATTTCTCCCTGTCATCTATTTTATCAAATTCATTGTCACTCATTTCATCTTCATCACTGAATTCATCTTCATCCTCATCTTCATCCTCCTCCTCATCATCATCCTCATCCTCATCTTCGTCCTCTGCTTCATTCTCCATCTCTGCTTGCAATCTAGCTTTCTTTTTCTTACTTTTCAACCAACCCAGATCTAAAAGACAAGAAGCCATGTATCAGAATAATAAGTTAAAATTCAAATGTTTGATTAGTTTAAACAATATTTTATTTACAAATATGCTGTACATAATATATAATTTTACATAATGTTATATTAGGGATCTGGCAACAAGAGTAGGCTCTTATGTTAAGCCATCTCCCAAGAATAAGACCAATATTTGGTCGTTTGTCTGTCCTTTATCAATGTGCGATCATATATGTATTGTGTTTATATTATATTTGTTCTATCTGACTCAAATTTGACTGATTTCCACCAGAAATGTTTAAACTTGTTATTTACAAAATAATGCTTGCTAGGTGTTCAAAATGTATTTATTGTAACTTGTTCAAAGAACAACTAGGACTCCTGTCATAGTGGAGGAGAACCAAAATCCTGGTTAAGTTGTTGATGCTCAAAAGTTGGTGGAAATAGGAATGAGAGATGGATACCTAACAGTATTCAGTAGAGTTCCGTCGCTATAGGTAAATACAAAATATATATAAGATGGAGCATCAACATCTAGATTCCGTGTTTGGACCTGATGACGGCTAGCCTAGCAAGCCGAATCATGTAAACCATAAATAAAACATGGATGCTCCATCTTATATATGTTTTAGTAAAAGAATGTTAGTTATACTATATCAATGACATGCTTACTTTAAACTAACATTGCATTGTCCAATTATTTTCAAAATCATATTTCATTTGAAAAGAAAAAACATGAATTATGTGCTTTAAAATATAAGCGATCATGAAATAAGAAGGAATCTTGATCACTCGAAACAGGTTTTATAAACTTGCTAAACAACTTGTTAAAAAGCACACTTTAAAGAAAACTTGCTATTAGAGCCTTGGTTTTTTTTTAAGTCATGAACTTGAGTTAGGTAAACATTTTAAACAATACCTACTTATTTTTAAACTTCTATAAAATCTAAATGAGATTGCAAAGATAGTGAAATCCCTTTATCAACTAAAAGTCATTTGAATTTTGTGAAGCCTATATATAAATTACATGTAGATGTGATTTTACTTGTGTGGAACCTTTCTAAATAAACACTGGAGGTTTTCATTTATTTCTGTATGACTTGGGAAAGCTTCAGATTAAACAAAAAAAACAAAAAAACAAAAAAAAATCATAATATTCATAAGTAGTGTTAACTGTTGTACATCATTATACCTGCATCTTCAAGGTCACCTTGGTCACTGTCAAAGTCCGAGTCAAGGTCGTTCTTATCCTCGAAATCATTCTTCAATTTATCCTCATCTACTGCATCTAGAAGATCTTGTAACAAGTTAAGATTCATAAACAGTGTAAACTTCTGTTGTTTGGCTACTGTGGACAGTCACACATACATAGGAAGATAAAAGGGAGGGGGGGGGGGAAACTCTCAACAAACATCAAATGTCAGAGCTTGGATCAACCAACCTTTCAATATCTGCAATAGTTAACAAGAGTATTGCACATGTATATAATTTTTTGATTCTTCCTCTTTTCTTAAAGAAGTTCTCTCCCCTTATTAGTTTGAAATGTTTGCTACCCTCGCATGCTCATCAGTGGTATCAGTGTATCCGGTGCCTTGCTGGCCAATCAAGGGGTTCCCTCCTTCCTGCCTCATCTGTGTCACGCCTCAGTACATTTACTAAGTATTATATAGTATCTTTAATTATGAATGAAAAAAAATCAAAATGTATGAATAAATAGATGAAATGAGTGTAAACAAAGAAAGAATTAACGGAAATAATAAATGTATGAATGAATGAAACAAGGAATAAATGTAAAAGGAAGGATGTAATGTCAAGAAATGAATGAATGAATAAGTAAACAAATGAATGAATAATAAATAATGAATGAAAGAATGAATGAGAACCCTTTTGCATGATGTCATGAGGACAAACAAAAACAAAAAAGATTCTTCCTCTTCCTGTTGAAACCACTTGAGGAGTTTATGAGACTCAAACAATTATCCGAGCATAATGGAAGAATGTCAACGTCAAAATCACATCTACTGTGATTATGGTGAAGTCTAGTTTAAAGTAATCTAATTAGAAAATAATTAACTTAAACACTTACAGAGCTACACATTACAAAAGTTTTCACGGAAATCAGATGGAAAATGAGAAACAAATTATCAGAACAAGTTCTCTGAATGTTCCAGGAAGAGAAATAATTCTGTAGATAGTGACTGGATTTAACTGTCTGACATACATGTACAAGTACTCTTAGGGTAGATATACAATTTATATTGTTGGCTAACTCTAGTAAGTTGGAGGATAAAGACAAAGGGCAATAACTCTGATATTAATAAATAGATTAATATATCTGATATACATGCACAACTGCATATGATGATGGTTAACTTAATGTTGAGATGTTTATAAAATACACTCTTTAATCTTGTGTAGATGTATTGCTTTGGAAAAATAACCTTCAAACTACAAATTCTCACCACACGTCATATGGGCGGATTGGTCAAGTGGTTTACACTCTGGCCTTCCACACAGGCGGCCGGGGTTTGATCCCAAAAGTCAATGTACGCATGGAATACTCACTGAAACACCATGCCGAAGGCACCCAGCACTATCTCAAATGTTGTATATATATATATGATATAGCTATAACATAGAAAGTGTTTCAGAAACAAGTGATAGCACAGTCCCCTTGAGTTACTTTAATGTTATATTTTCTTTTGCTGGGTTTCAATTTTTGATATTTCAACAGTGCACAGTAAAGATTTTTTCCCTATTTGTTCTAATTTTCACAATTTTCGTGGAAACAATTTTTTCATCAATAACACACCCAGTAAAATCAATGTCAAACTTATCCATCCTTATCATGGCACAATGTGCCATGACTACTAAAACATGAAATCCACAAAAAAGATATCTGATGAAAGTGACCATTTTATCAAATTTATGAAAGTTAAGGCCAATTGAGAAAAATAAAAAGGTTTATCAGAATATTTTCAAATGTTTAAAGTACTGAAATATTATTTGCAATTTTGAAATCAGATTTAAAATTTCTTATTTAACAAAACCTGACATCAATAAACCTAAATGATAAATTGAGTGAAGATTTTGTCATAGGATACAGTCAAGTCCATCAGCAACAAATGATTGCGGAAGAGTCTTCTTCTTGCGTTTATTGAGGTGGAGCTGTTTCTCGAGCTGTTTCAACATCCTCTCCTCCTGTCGTAACTCTAGCTCCATGTTCTTTTTCCTTATGTCTGATATCTGTCAAAAATAGGGTTTAGACAAATGCTACTGTTACAATGGTATATTTTACTTCAATCCTTTGTCAACTTTAAATTGTTGATATTTCACTAGATGTCTGTTTCAATGTGACCAATATCAGCCATCCTGATATATGGAAAACATATGAAACAGGACAGAAAAAATGCACGGCCAAACCGGGGTCAAATCCGGGACCTTCCGAACTCTAGATGGATGCTCTACCGATTTAGCTATATGGTCGCCGACGATCAACTCAGTCTGGTTCCGCTCACATATAAGGACATGAATAATAATAAAGAAACATCTTTCAGTTTTTCGCGATCAGATTATAGCTACCAGGTATATTGCCTACGTAAAGTTAAGTTATTTGTTGTGAATATGAACATATTGCTTATGATATTGTACACAACTCTTCTTAGTGTAACTGTTGACGGTGACATCTTTGTAAATAAATAACATGTATATGTTTTGGCCAGATCATGTTCAGACAAAAAAAATGTGGGAAGGTGTAGAAAAAACGTTTTTTTCCAACAGATATCTAACTCTAAATTTTCAATTAGTGGTCCAGGCCTAGCTAGGGGATCCCATTCTTAAAGTGAAACATGTTGAAGTGAAATTGCTTTCTATTTTCTCTTCTAAACTTTACTGTATCGGGAGAGGTTATCTAAATGACATTAAAAGCCAGAAATTATCAAATAAAGTTAACTTGGAAACATTACAAAACTAACAAAGATCCTCATATGATCAGCATATTGCATATAACCTGTTTTTTATACACATGTACACATTACACAAACCAATTACCTTTTCCTTTTCTTCCTTCTTCTTTGCTTTAGCTTTCTTTTTCCTCTGTTTGATTTTTTCTTTCTGTTTCTTTTCCCTTTCAATTGTCTTTTCCTTCTTGAATTGTGTCTCTAGAGTAGGCATCTGCACAAAACAGGAGTTTTTGTTGAGTATGGTAAAACTAGACGCATCAATTTACATACATGTACATCATGCATATGCTTGAATGAAAACTCCTGGGTTTTTTTCAATCTCATTTATAACATTTGAAATCAATAGTATTAATATATATTAACATTTCTGTTTATGAGATTCTAAATAAACCTATCAAGTTCTGGAGCTAAATATTGTGTTACCTGCAGGTATCCAAACAAAACAAAATTTTGTTACCTACAGGTATCCAAACAGAACAAAATTTTAAGAGCTATACACTGTATATTCCATGTGCATGTTTATAATTGGAAATTAAACTGTCCAGGCACAGTTCAATTTATCAATTTATATCTGAGGACTACTTGTTAACCATACTACATAATAACAATATACAATGTATATATGCAGGTCCAGTACACTCTGCCGATTGAGCTATATAGCTGTAAAGACCTATAATAGCTCTATTGACCTATCTGAAATAGGTCTTTTGAGCTATTTTCAAGTGATTTTCTTTTTTAAGGAAATTGGAACAAAGTCGCATTTAAAAGAAGATTGTATCATTAGGTTGATAACAAAAGACATTAAATATAAGTCTTCTTTTTAAAAAATAATGATGTAAAAATATCGGAAATTTTACATTATGAAAAATGAAAATAAACATCTACATGTAACTGTATGCTCTTTGTAGTCAACATTACCAAAAACCTTTTTGTTTTATGCGACTTTGGTTTAATTTAATAAATTTTGAAATCTGAGAAAATATAGCTCAATACAGCTATAATGTATAGGTGTATATAGCTATATAGGTCTTTACAGCTATATAGCTCAACCGGCAGAGTGTACTGGACCTGTATATGGTAAACAAGGAGGCCTCAGATATAAATTGATAAATTGAAACGTGTCCCTGTTGTGAGGTGGGGGTGTAGAACATTAAGCACCCCACTTCGGTGAGCTTACTGGTTTGTGTTGACTAAAAGCAAGCTTCCTGGCCTTCTTAAGTTGTTTCATCTCCTTCCGTTTTTGTTTTCTTCCTTTCACTTTCTTTCCTTTTGATCCATGCCGATCTGAACTTTTTAATTCCTCGCCGAATAATTCAGTTATTTCTGTTCTGAAACGCTTCAAATTTTGTGGATCCTTCCTAAATACTTTCCGTTTCACGCCCATTTCTGAAAATTAATTAAATACAGTTAAAACACAACAGATCCAATGAATATTCACTCGTGGTCAACTCGCACCATGGGGGCAGCCATTACAGAAATGATTTCCACGAAGGGGAACTACTCTGCTCGTTCTAATTAGATAAAATAATTCCGTGGTAAATGCCAATTTGCAAAGTGATCAATTTTGATGGGTAATATCAGGGACTTAGATCTAATCTAATTCCGTGGTGATAATATGTTATTCATAAAAAAAAATATTAGTTGAAATTGGTTTTTTGTTCATGAACAAGTAGGAAAATGTCCGGATCCGTATGACCCAGACTTGTATCATGATTACATAGAATCAATTACTAATTATGAATATAAATAATTTATAAATAAATAAATATGCACAGAAAAAAAGTTCTATCAGAACAGTGACCATTTGGTATGAACTGCCAGAACATGTCGTATCCGCACTAAATCCTAATTGTTTTAAAATTAAGCTAGACAACCACTGAAAAAAATCGATAACGATTCTTCAATTACAAAGCAACAATCAAATTCTAGACATCGATGTACATGTGTACCGGTTAGAAGTATTGACTGAATTTAATTTATTTATTTGAGAGTCTGTTATAGAGAACTTTGATAGTCCTAAACCAGAAATAGACTTAATTAAATAGAGAATAATACATGCCTTTTTCCATATCACACCCAGTATCAACCCGAGACTGCAATATCAGCCCAAGGGCCGAAGGCCCGAGGGCTGATATTGGTCGAGGGTTGATACTGGGTGTGATACGGAAAAAGGCGTGTTTTATTCTGTTTATTATATACTTACTAATAAAAACTACTATCTTATGATTATTTTGAAATATTGAAAAACGATTTTTTTCCAAAAGGGGTGGGATATGGGTTTTGCGGGCTGATACGGGTTTTGGGGTGTGATACGGCGGGGGCTGATACGGGGTTTGGGGGGTGTTACGGCGAGGGGTGATATGGGCAATTGTGTCGTATCGCATATACAAAAAAAACCGTATTTATTAGTAAGTATGTAATAAATTCATATATGATTGGTTTGTCCACATTATCATATATGATAAAATAACAAAAGGCCACAGAATCTTAGACACTTTAAAAAAAAAAAAAAAAAAAACGAACACAGAGCATCTAAATTTCCGTTTCTCTTTACACCTCGATTCATTTTCATATTTTTCAAAGTAACGTAAGTATCAAAAATTATAGCAACTGCTTCGGGTGGAGAAAATGCTAAAATGAAATACGTCAATTTAGTTAAATTGCACAGCCCTTCTAGATTTCAATTTTGTCCGGAGTGGGGGAATATTTCCCTTGATGGACTTTACAACAGACTTAGAAAATATAATTCCATGGATTTACGTACACTCTAGCGCTCACACATGGACCTTCCTCCAGTTGATTATTATACAAAAATAACTTTTAAACAAACTATTTTGTTCACTTCAAGCAACTATACCTCTGCCCATAAAATATAGTTCTTATACAAGATTTTACATCTTATTTCATTTATTTCTCCAGCTTCTAGCGGGCTTCGCCCATGGACCTTGATGTAAAGTTTTCCTATATTTTAACAATCAAGGACCTGTTTTACGGGTCCTGTTCACATAAAAAATGTTGTCTTTAATTTGTGTTAACAATTTCAATTCGAAGGGAAGCAAATCCATACCTCTGTAACTTACCCGTGTCAGGCATCAGTTAAGTTTTACACACAAATTGTGGTGTTCTGCGTTATCCAGCGACTTTTGTGTACTTGGAGATGTTGTCTTTCCCTGTTCTTTGCTAGCTCTAATATCACATGTATGCCCATTTCATCTTATTGGCAATGACCTAAACCCTTGTACACAGGTCAACCTAGGCCTATAAGGAAGAGAGTCTTTGAACTTTCAATGATAAAGTAGGTCATCTGAAATAAGTGATGACCTTTTAGAAGTGTCGTACATCTTATGAAAGAATCAATCAGCCTTCAATCTCAATGTTTGTCTCTTGGATGACCCTGGCTGCAAAGCTGGAACAGGTTGGTCAAAGGACTTTTTTTTTCAAAATCCATTCGTTTTTGGTGCCATTTCTTTCTTCTTCAGTATATATACGAATACTACACAACATGCTCTTTTACTGTTTTGGGTTAAGATGAACACTGGTATCTCTTGTAATTAAGTGTTCCGCTGTTTTTGGCATCCCTGCCTGGTATATCAAAAAACTTTCATTATATAGTACAAGCATTGAATAAAGGCTAAAAGGACTTCACGTTTAGGCGCTTGCGCCAGTCCAATTTCAAAAAAAGTTTTTTTTTCAAAATTCATGGAATCGCACCAGCCTTCCGCTAGACATAACATGGTTGTATTTCCATTTGTTTGTACTTTAAATAAACTTCACAACATAGTATAAAGAGGATGGGAAAACAAGCTAAAACTGTATATTAAGTCCTCTCCTCTATTGGACATTACTGCACAGTTTACATGGACATTTGGACGTATTAATGATGACAGATCGACAAAACGGAAATGAGATATGGAGATGTAATTATTTTAAAGAGTGCATATAGCACATCATTGGAAAAGAAGTAAAGAAGATAAAGTTATAACAAAACATCGAAACTTTGTGTAATCTCAGTGGTGTAAAAACAAATGCCTATTATTAAGCAAAACTAAATATATTCAAGTCTTTTACTGTTGATGATAAAGTCATGTACGGCAAGAAATATTTCCAGATTTGAATTTTCCCTATCATTTAATTCATGACCCCACCCCCCTCACACACACACACACACACACACACACACACACACACATACAAAAGAACATTTACATTATTTTGTATCTCATACTTTAAAAGGGTATTTGATAAAAACTGCTGCCTACTTTGAGTGTATTTGTTACATGTGAGTAAATAGTGAAAATTGTCTTCTAAGGTAAACACACAATAACAACGTGATTGTGTGTAAGTCAGTTCTTCTTGTAATTTATGTGTGGTTTTCAGATATTCTTGGAGGGACTAGTGAGGACAGATAGGTAGGTGATTTGTGTTTTACCATTTTGTGTAATTGTATCAGTTTATGATTTTCGCGACGTTTCGCAAATTTTCCCACTTGATATCTCTATACAAAAAAATCATTACTAGCTAAGTTCGTGCCCCCTGTAACAATCCTTGCTGCTTCTAATTGTAAACTTTCTAATTTGTCACTTAAATATTTAGGAACATTGTCCCAAACTATGTCGGCGTATTAGTCTTATAAATGATATATACATTTTTGTAAAGAATTCCTTTTAAGTTTAATTTTTAATCACCTTAGTACAAATAAACGCGTTGAAGCTGAATCTAGTACATGATTGATATAACCATGCCATGACAAATTTGATGTAAACAAAATACCAAGATGTTTATGATTTTGAGCTTCAGTCATTATTATTCATATATAAATCACCATGATAAGGTCTCAAAGCTTTTCTGCTAACAAGTAAACTTTCGATTGTATTTGGATTACATGTTACCACCCATGTATCTGCCCATCTTTGAATAGTATTAAAATCGTTATTTATAATATTTCTAGCTTCTACATTAAGAGAGGTGTCGTCAGCAAAAAGTTCGACATTAAACCTTAGATTAATAACAATAACATTAATGTAGATGAAAAATAAAAGAGGCCCAAGTATTGATCCTTGTGGAACACCTGCCGTAATATCTTTGAGATTTGCATCCTTCCCGCCTAAAACTACCTTTTGCTTAGACACAGGATTCAGGAATCGAGTTGAGTGCGGGAAAAAAACAAGTTATTTTTACGACTTATTATTATCATTTGCCTCCTATCGAGTAATCGTCAAGTTTAATTCAGTCCCCTTTTCTCCCTTTTACTTCTATACAATATAGGGGGACTGAATTAAACCTATTCATAATATTATTGCAATTATATTAATTGAAAAAGTACCAATTCAATATTCAAATATAAAAGCAAATAATAATCAGTCGAAAATTCAGTACACAAATTGTTACCGCGCACCACTCGATTCCTTATTTCCTAATTCTGCTCTTGATGATAAATGATTAACTCAGTGATAAATAAACATATGAATTTTATACACAATTATGAACCAAGTTACTACAATTTATACGAATCACTCTTGCTGGCCCTGATATTAACGCCCGTACCTTTCACGTCCGATTGGTGGAAAAATATCAAATAGGACACGCCTTAATAAGTTAGGGCAATATTTGAGACTTTCTGTGGATATGGCATTTCTTTTTGCATTCTCAAAAGGTTAATTAACGTAGATTGTATTTGTATTGAAGAAATTGACAATGTAGAAATTCTAACATTATGAAAATATTTAAGATAGGCACAACTTCTGTCTATTAAAGGAAACTGGTTCATCCGGGATCCCTGATTATCCATACGCTATATACATGTATTGTAGGCCTATATTCTACTCCATTAAATAATGTAAATAAAAGAAATAGATAACTAATAGGGATTATACATGCATGTACATTTATGTATATATATATATATATGCATGACAATATTTGTTTTAATATATAGATGCATAGAAAAATTATGAATTTGCATCAACGTTCAACTATCTATATAAATCAACCCTCATGAAACAAACAACAATAGTCATTGCTAAAACATGTCTTTTTAGACTCTAATGTTAACCTGGATATTTTCCAAAGTATATACAACTATATTGACAAACAATGAAGAAATCTGACATGTTTATTTCGCGTGTCCATTGTCCTGTGCGTATGCCGGAATTAGGCGACACACATAAAACAATAGCTATTCACACGATAACTCGTTCGATCTTTCAACAACGTACATGAGTTGATCGATCAAACAGGTGTGAATCAGATAAGTGGGCAATATGACCTTTGACCTAGCACGGCTTCCATTGATACCAAATCAGCCAATCACAGGCGTCGTAACATATTACATTTGTTGACCAAACAGGTGCTCCATGGCCGTCGTCGTGTGTAGTCTTGCTATTTGTGTTGAGTTTTTGTTGTTGTAATAACTTAAGTGCGAGGTATCACCAGTAGACATTTGTGTGGAGGGACTTGACACAGGCACATAGCAGCAGACATAACTCTGTGCTTCAGAGGCGGTGAGTATTTCAGAAATAATAATTGAAAATGGTGACAAATTCAGGAGTTGGATCGGTAACTTAGGACGCGAGTAATAGTCTCGATTTCCACTGTTTACTACACCTGATCGGGTCAATGTTTTGACAGGCCATTTACCGCCCGTTCCCTTTTTAAAAACATTGACGTATTATCTTCGTTTTAGTTGTAATTATAAGTATGTATACAATATTGTCAAAAACATTAGTGTTTGTTCGCGATCAGTTGCACGTGTTTTTCGTTGGCTACGGTCAGATGATTAGAAGAGTATTCGTGAGTTACACATAATCTACATGTATAACTCCTTATTTCCTCAAACTAAATAAACGAATCAATTAATACGTTTCTGATATCTATTTCATTTTCATTTCATTTCATTTCCTACCTTCCGCTGTTCCGTTGGTGAAAAAATGAAAATGTGATGAAAATATCTTTAACTTGATTTATTAATTACAATGATACAAACTGTTAAAAAATCACAGTCTATTGCAAAGGCTACATATCGCAGGATTGTTTATATTAAAGTATTCTTCACTTGAAAATATTAAAACTTGATGAAAGAATATAATTGTTATATCCCCCCAAAATTAGCCAGATTTTCCTCTGGCCCTAACACCAGACTAAGACATCTTTCAGTATATGTCAAAATGTTTAAGTCTGGTGTTAAGGGCCAGAGGAAACTCAGGCTACCCACAAATATGTACTAACAGTTGGTCTGATGAACCCTGATGTTTCCTACATGTAATTAATATTGCATAAATAGGATCCGTGCTATGTAGAGAAATGTGAGAATTCCGAATTGTCAGGGATGATGCGACCTATATGATGATTTTATTTGAAGCTTGTCTTTACAAGTACGCAAGGGTATTCATTAATACAATAAATTGGAAAGGAGGCAATGACTTTGTAACAGTAAGACTTTATCTTTTTGATCATGCTGTTTTGATCATTGATCAGGTACTTTTTACTCTGTGATGGAGTTGCATGACTAAATATCATTACCACTACTGTCATAAACAGGATATTTATAATGATTTGTGGCAGTTGTCCAAATATTATATGAACATCAGCAGTTTATTCTGAATAAGCTAAAATTATGAAATTTTCAGGACAAAAATCCTTTAAAAGAAAATGAAAACAAAACCTTTTGTTTTAAGAAAACCCCTTTTTCAGTAATTGATTAAGAAACAAAAAAAATAAAGTGTACGAACTAGAATTTTCCAGAAAACGTAATAAATATTTCCTTGATCATTTATGATTACAATACATGGTTTTAAATCGCTAGTAGGGAGTACAATGTCCCGCTTATTGCTGTTTTATGTATACTGAGCACATAAGATCATTCCAATAACAAAATGTGCCGTATAAAAGAGAATTTTTGTTGTAGCACAGTATGTACGCCCTTTAACAGCAGGTTCAATGGGTCTGCCTATTTTAAAACATTCTAACGGTCTTCTAAAGCCTTTGACAAGATTTGGCTGTTAACCAAATTTAGCTTGCGTACATATATTTATATACATGTACATCTAGAGGTGTTTAATAAATCAATTAGATTATTTGATATGTCTTGTATTTTTTCTCAACAAAGATGAATTTATATTTGTGTTTACCAGTGTGAGTTTACCTTGGTGCCTTGATGAGAAATATGGTAATATTCTTTTTTTCTTTTTTAATGGTAAAAGATTTATTTCAGTCAGGACCTTTTTTATATTTTTATTTTTGTTTTTCAAGATTTTCTGAACATGTACATTGTACAGAACATTCACACATATCGACTATTGAAATTATCATCATCGTCATCCTCACAGGGTTCTCCCTTGGCCATTTAGCTGATACAGCTCCGTATCAGCTTCAGTTTGAAATCCTATCTGCCGTATCAGCTTAATTGACCCATATCATATTAGACTATGAATTCTTTACAAATGTAAGAAAAAAGGAAAATCATTTCTGAAGTGAAACAAATAAACAATATAGGTTATGTTTTACTATGTATTCATAAAGAGTTACACCAGTGTGTATGTATGTTAGTTTCATGTTCACACTTTATTTTTAATTTTTAATTATCCTTTAATGTCAAGATATTGTAACTTGTATGTTTTTTTACATTCATAAATAAATTAAAGCTAGTTCAGATTCAGTTACTAAAAAAAGAAATAGTTGAGATATGTTGGTTGACACACATAGGAGGATTTATGTATTTTTCAGGGTTTCAGATTCTGAGATGTATTTTAGATGAGAAGTTCAGAGATGTGTTTCAGATGAAAATTTCTGTATTTATGCATGAAAATTGACAATACAACCAAAAAAATAGCATTTTAAATTTGTCCTTATTTATACTGATTGTAGATAAAAATATATAACAATTATTTATTTTTTTAATAATTACAAGATGCTTTAAATCGACGTTTTTAAAAGAAAACCTTTTTTTTTTACATAATTTTTATCTTTTCCTTATAAAACTGGAATACATGGATACCTACGTCTTTACATTAATCTGTTTCGTTCTTAAAACCTTAGTTCAGTTAACTTAAGTAGCCTTTACTCTACTGTACATCTAATGTCTTTTTATCTGCATTGTTTCCAAAGGTCACCGGCGATTTCAAGACGATAACAATGAGCTTTGAGCGGCATTGACGAGACAGATATGTCTATGACATCAGGTACACCCCAGCCCCCTGAACCGGGGGCACCTGACGACAGTTTTAATCAGGGGGTAATGGTCGGAGGCCGAAGTGCTGCCACCTACTTTGAGCGGTTTGGACATTACGAGTGCCAAGAACTGTTGGGATGGCAACAGTCGCATTGGATGTTGTCAACAGATGAGTTCAAACATCCAACAGACCCACCTATGGGAATGATCAGCCAACTGAATCCTGGGAACTCCAACAGCTGTCTAGTTCTGATACCGGCCGAGGAATCCGAAACATTACCACTTGATTACAGAGAGGTACATCAGATTATACAGGAACTGACTTTTGGGATATTTGTGCTGAACCAGACCCCAAATATTTGTCTGGAGGCGAACTATGACCTCAGTACTTCCTGTCAGATCCCGCCTGCTTACATTGACACTCGGATAGGTCAGATACTGGTGAATGTAGACTACATGATGAAAAGCCTTTGGCATGGTGCTTATTTTCCTAAAGATAAAAGAACAAAGTTCTCAGAAAGTTGGCGAAGGAATCTCGACATTGATCCGAACGGAAAGGTGGAGAGAATGAAGCCACTTCTCCCCGAGTTCTCTGGTGCTGGTAAGTTAAGACATATTATACCGTTGTCTGGTGCTGGTAAATTAAGACATATTATACAGTTGTCTGGTGCTGGTAAGTAAATACTTATACAGCTTTCTGTTAATTAAGTTAAGACATATTTGACAGTTGCTTACATAGCTGTCAACCCTCCCTCATAGGAGGGAAACTCCCTCATTTTGACCAAAATTTACCAATTTTTAATCTCCCTCAAAACTCCCTTATTCTAGTCCAAACTCACACAAACTCAAAATGTCCATCCTGTGGTCAAATGATCTCCTAGTTACTACAGGGTGTGTGTAGTGATCATAACAGGTCTGTCTGAATCAAATGAATGCTTCAAGTTTTTGGAGTTATTTTGATACATAAAAAGGGAAAGATAAATTGAGCAAAGCAGTTTCAGTTCTGTTTCATGCACTTTCTCCCTCATTGGAAATGTGAAATGAGGGGGATCAGCTCCCTCATGGGAGGTTTCCTCAATCCCTCATTGATGAGTTCAGACTTATTAGTCTGTTATCTAGTTTGTAGAATATTTACAAGACAACCTTTTTCAGTAAATATTTGAAGAAGAAAAAACTGAACCTGGTTCTATCTTGTCTTATTTTGAGGTTGATAATACAAATTCAGTTTCTGTTTATATTTTTTAGGCATGCTGGATATTACCAAAGATCCAGATTATGCAAATGTATATGATGACCTCCCCACGGAGCCTGTGAACGATCCGGAAATGAATGAGGAACGCAAATTCTTCATGAGTTTTGTCGAAGATTTAAGTATGCAAATGACATTTTTTCAAAATCATGTGCAGCAATACAAAGACATGTACATTTCTGAAGGCGATTGGTTAGTGTCCAGTGTGGTCAAGGTTCTAGATGACCGCATCAACCATATCGGTTACGAGAGGATCAACACGCGGCTTCAGATGCACGAACAGATTATAAAGGAAAAGTTAGGAAATAAAGCGGAGGTTCGCAGGAACCTGTATATGTTGAAACTCATCAGTTTTCTCACACCGTTTCTTATCGGAATGAGGAAAAGAATGAAAATCCCAGACATGAGTCGACTCCTACCAAATTTATCAAGTAAGTATAAACACACGTTACGTTTTTTTTCCAGCTCAACCATTTCATTGATTTCAAATCGTAATGAGATTCCTGTTGGTGTAAAAATTGTGCAGGAACTTTATGACTTTTTTTTACATCAATGTGTAATAAAGAACAGTCATATTTTAATTGTATGGGTACATATTCTTAACATGTTCTTGACAATTATTAATAGCCTACAATTACAACCTAACCGTGGGGATTTGCATTTACAACAGCATATTTCATATAAGTAACTACGTATACTGTTTTTTTGTTTATGTAGTTGTTGTTCAATATGTATTTTTTCATGTCTATCTCTGTTAAATGTTGTGATATATATACATAATGTAAATGTTCATATTTCTGTCTAATGATAAAGGCGCGGATTGCACTGAAAATTCGACAAATTTCTTTGCACTGTCAGTATTACTTCTCTACCTATATAACAGGCACTGTATATATATATATGATTCCCTTTAGCCTGGGAGGTCATAAATTAAACTATTTTCACCTGCTGATTCAGGTTCTTTTGTTATTGTATGATAGCTAGTGTTCCGTATGGAGGATCAGGTGATTCAATATGAACTAGCAAGGACTGTTAACACTCACTGTAATATATTTCACAACATGTTCTGAGGTGACAGAACATGTCAGCCCTTTCATATCAAATGCTGTAGACATGTTTAATAAAACGGCACGATTTTGCATATTTTTTTTAAAAATCATTTCGGAAGCTGAAACCTAATTCTCTTCAAAAATGAAAGAAATTCATCAGAGCTGAACAGTTGACTTCGACAATTTTTTTTCTGCATATGATATTTATGCAGAAGTCTTTGGATTTAATGAGAAAAATAATTGATGAACCTTTAAATTTGCCATTGACCACACTTTTGCCCTATATTTCAAAGCCATAACAGTAGGTTTTCATCTTTCTCTGACGATCTATCAGGTGTTGACATATATACTGTTATGACTGTATACTACACTGAAATATAAGTTCTCACAAGCAGGTACATTAATGATATTTGAGATGATGTACGATTAAGTATGGACACACAAAATTTTAATGACATGTGGAAAATGTCTGTAAACCCAGTACACCTGTAGTTTGGTTTGTTTTTCCCTTTGATGATCGATTTGTATTTGAGATTCTCATATAGTCTCAAAACAGCTAAAGAAATACAAAAAAAAGATCAGTTTCAGCTAATGATCAATGTGAATATCTTATGTTAGTCAGGATCAGTTAAGACTGACAAAGAATAAAGGGAGTCATTTTCTATAGACATGTCAGGCAATTCAATGATAGACCTGATCTATTGTACAGCATTCATTTCCAAAATTTTAATTGACATTGAGGTGAAAATAAATCACTTTTCCTTCATCAAATTCTTCCTGTCCCTGGTTTCATTCCTTATACATTCCCTTCTGACTATTTTTAGGTTTCCATGGTTTTGCAGAAAGAAATATGTCTGTTTAGGATTATTTATATAATTACTTACCCTTAAGTCATTTTTGCCCTCAAATGTTTGTTCTGAATGATATACTTTTTGCACCTGCCAGCTATTTTGGCCAAGTATTATTTTAGCATCTGTCAACATTCAGCTTGTCAGTAGGTTCCTCACCAAACTTTTGAACCAGATTGCTGGAAACTAAAAAAAAAAGAATTTAATCTTTGACATTAGTCTCAAGGAACCAGTTGAAGGTCAAGGTCATTTGTTTCAACATCAAGTAGTTTGTATGTACTGGTACAAAATATTTCATGATGGTGTAAAATTTAACTTGTCCATGCATTCCTGATTACCAAATTTCAAACAGCTAGATCTATACACCTGACATCAATCTCTTGAGGCCATTTGAAGGTCAAGGGCATGCACTCATCTGTCTATTTGTCTGTGTCCACATTTTGGTTGTCTGCCTAAATAAAGTTTCAACTAAATTTCATATCACTTCATACGGGTATTCCTGACATCAGTGTCTTAATACCATTATCCTAATTTCCGGATTTTCTAGCCTTGTGCCTTTTTATGTTCACTGTTTAGAAAGTATGTACCAGGTACAATGTATGTTTAACCCTTTTACCACTGTAGACCATAATGGACTCATCCAGATCAATGCATGGTAGAGTCTACTAAAGTTACATAGGGAGGAAAGGGTTAAAATCCTTGAGCTTTATTAAATGTTTCCTTATAGTGTACACATGTATCTGTATAGTTACATGTTCAGAGACTGTTATAAAAAAAATAAACAACGACATTTATGTAGTCGCTCCTCATAAGCCAATCACACATGCTTGATATACTTAGCTATTCGTGTTTTTATCAAAATAACTTTACAATTGTGCTGTTGTGGAATATCTTATTCCTTGGTTTCTTTGGAAGTCTGTACATGAAACAGGTTTTTAAATGATTTTTTATTGAGTCTTACAGACAATTTGAATATAGATTGAGGAAGTAGATTATCACTGGCTTTGAAGTTCTTTCTGATGTATGTTGACTTGTAACACACAAGTCCTGTGTGATGAGCTGATGGTTAAAGGGCAAATATTGATAAAATGTAAAGGACATGTATAGTTATAATGTAAATGCAGAAATACAAATTGTCTCTACTCCTGACATATTATGTTATAAGATGTCATGTCTCTTTAAGCCATGCCTACATAATGTCTCCATGACTACCATCATGTCTCCACGCTTACCATCAATCCATGTCTCTATACCTACCATCATGTCTTTATGCCTACCATCATGTCTCTATACCTAACATCATGTCTCTATGCCTACCATCATGTCTCTATACCCACCATCATGTCTCTATACCCACCATCATGTCTCCATACCTACCATCATGTCTCTATGCCTACCATCATGTCTCTATACCCACCATCATGTCTCCATATATACCATCATGTCTCTATGCCTACCATCATGTCTCTATACCTACCCTCATGTCTCCATACCTACCATCATGTCTCCATGCCTACCATCATGTCTCCATGCCAACATAATGTCTCCATGCCTACCATCATGTCGCCATGCCAACATAATGTCTCCATGCCTACCATCATGTCTCTAGCCATGCCTACATAATGTCTCAATGCCTACCATCATGTCTCCATGCCAACATAATGTCTCCCTGCCTACCATCATGTCTCTAGCCATGCCTACACAATGTCTCCATGCCAACAATCATGTCTCCATGCCAATTTAATGTCTCAATGCCTACCATCATGTCTCTATGCCAACATAATACCTACCATCATGTCTCCATACCTATCATCATGTCTCCATGCCTACCGTCATGTCTCCATGCCTACCATCATGTCTCTATACCTACCCTCATGTCTCCATGCCTACCCTCATGTCTCTATACCTACCATCATGTCTCTATACCTACCATCATGTCTCCATACCTACCATCATGTCTCTATGCCTACCATCATGTCTCTATGCCTACCCTCATGTCTCTATACCTACCATCATGTCTCTATGCCTACCATCATGTCTCTATACCTACCATCATGTCTCCATATATACCATCATGTCTCTATGCCTACCATCATGTCTCTATACCTACCCTCATGTCTCCATGCCAACCAGCATGTTTTAGTCATGTCTCTTGTCATACCTACATACTATGTATACATATAAAGTTGTGATCAATCCTATTTAGGAATATATACCAAATAAAAATATATTTGAATGAAAAGATATGACTTCACAGTGAGAGTATTTTAAATGTTATTTATTGGAAACTAATGCACAGAAATAATCCCACCCCTCTTTAAAATCACTCAGCTATGTTATTTATAGGTCTATAGATTATATTTAATACACACTGTATGCTGGGAAAATTTAGCCACAGTTTTTGCCCTCTGCAATAAGGGTGAATTCATAATGACAGTGAATATTATTACACAGCACACCATATACACTTGTGGAGACATAATTCATACAGGGAGAAAATATAGATATTCCAGGCGAATTCATACAGGGAGAAAATACAGATATTCCAGGTATACAGTAAAAATACATGTACTTCCAATATTTCGGTATTGTTTGATTTAAATCAATTTTGAGTGTTGGTGAAGCTTAGCAACTCACAAAGTTAGGCACCCATTATGGTATTTCTTACATCCTGGATGAATTATGTCCATATTAAAGGACACAAAGTGAAAGGGTGCCAGCTTCTTAAAGCCACCATATATACTCCATAGTTCAGGAGTGTAGCCAATTAAAGTGACAGATGGTGTTATAAATAAACTGCTTGATTCTTGTTTTATTGATGTTCTGGGTTGTTGATATACATGGGCAACTGTAGTACAAAAAAATATAATACCTTTTTAATTGACATTTTGTTGCATTTTCATTACCACTAATTAATTATAGAGCTTTTAAGAGACAGTCAAGAGTTTATGTATGTACCTGTACTGTTCACGATAACAGCTGTCTGGGATCCTCACTCCGTGTCCAATTACCTCTATAGAATCATTAGCGTTTGGAGTACGTTTGTTTTATTTATTGATGAGTTTTCCTCTTGTTTCGACTCTCCTAGGACGGTTATATGATCATAAATGTTGCGCTTTCTTATCTCCTGTCAATATACATACAAGTATATATATATATATATGTCACTCTCTGGAAACAGGTTTATTGATTACTTTTGCCTGGTTGTATGGGTACTTTGTCATGTGCATCTATTGAGGTATTAATTATACATTACCTTATATGCCAACATGAATGTGCTGTTGATTGATTTAAGCTAACACATATAAAAAAAAAAAATAGTCAATAATCCTAACTAAGTAAATTGATATCAGAAATGCAGCTAATTTGTAGTTTATTCTGCAATGGAAACACATAAAAAGTCACTTACTACATACAATGTATAATAAGGTGACATTATTTAAGGATTGACCTTCATTTTGACTGCGTATATGGTAGTATGAACGCAGTTGGCAACGAACATATTCTATGGAGCGTGTTAGCGCTCCATAAAGA